GTCTTATTCTAAATTCTGAATTCATTTCCTTAATTTCAGCCAACCCAGTGACTACTAATTTTGTCCCTTTGCAAAGCTTTCTGGCCAATGCAGACATAAGACACCCACAACTTCCTTAGCATTGAATTCTGTGAGCCACCTGAGCTACTTATTCCTGACCATCTGCACAAATGCAGCTCTGGAAACTGAGTAAATGGAAGAAGACTATAACATTCGCTTCAAAGATGGAATATGATATGGACTTGGCACAGCAAGTACAAAATGCTGTAGAGAATGAATGAGACAGGAATCACGTTAGAAATCTAGAGACTCGGTGGACTACAGAGTAGGAGAGATGGAAGAGAAGGGACAAATGTACTCAGGTTTTTCTTGTCTATTAACTTGTACCCCATGTCATTCCTATAAAAGGTTTTTGAACCACAGTGAATTTTCTCAAAGAAATTAAACATTATATGCGTTGGTTTAACTAAGAATAATTAAAAGTATGTTCATAGCTATAAAATCCATAACAGTGGTTCACTCAAATTATGCTTTTTTGAAAAAAAAGAAATCATCAACAGCCATGGACTTCCACCCCATTAGAAATCCCAGGAAATTAGTGAATTGGTTAATAGTTGCTTACAAATGAACATTTTATAGCTAAGTCCCAATGGTCAACTAAATGTTATTAAGATTTAAAAATATAACTAACAGGCAGCCCATCAATATGATCTCTAGATTTGTATTATGTTTGAAAGACTAATAATAGTAAGCAAGAATATCACTTTTGATATATTTGATCTCAAGAAATAATTTGTAAGCTTTACAAAAGCAAGAAATCTATTGCTTGTCTCCCCAAGTCTAGTGACCTGGTACAAAGTAGACGCTCAGTGAGTATTTGTGCATTTGATGAATAAAAAAAAGTCTTAAAAAATCGGCTCTTGTATATTCAGAGCTTTTACAATCAATTCGACCTCAGGCCAGATCTCTCTAATCAAGACCAAGTTCTTTCCTTTGTGATTTAGAAATACAACATATCTGTGTGCATAGTACTCAGTTTTCATCTGTCATGATCACAGGGACCAGATGGCTCCCTCCTCTATAACACTTGCGTCCCAAGGAAGACAGCACGACAGAATACAAAGCTGGCATTTGATATGAGTTCTTCACAATTCTGCAATGAAGACCTTCCATTCATTTTCTATTTTTTTTTTTTTTGGAGCATGTGCACTCTAAATATGGCCCATAAGATGAACATTTATATAATCGGAGGACTTTGGAAGCAGAGATAATTCTCCAAGTTTCCCAGCGGTGTGATAGGATACTCCCAGAGAGCTGTCAGTGCTGATGAACGGCTAGATAGCCATTTGTCTACCCTTGGGCACCCCATGCCCATCAGGAAAGGAAGCTTCAGCTCCTGCCTTAATTAAAGATGAGAATACAGAGGTAGTTGTGTTTTCCCCACTTGACAGACTGTATACATATATATGCCCGGCTGCAAAAGGGAGTGAGTGACAGGAAGCCGAGGGTAGTGGTGCATGCACGGCATCCACCCCGCTCACTCAGTCGTGGGGTATCTCAGCCGTGAACGTGGAAGCGCTGTTTTGGAAGAGGCAGTTCAAACCCAATTTATTACTGATAGGTTCAGAATCCCCACCTTCTTGCAAAGGATTGCATCCTGTTTCAGGTCAACTTCAGGATTGGAGACAGAATGTGATCTCAGTATCTTATTGACGACCTTGAGTTTGCATCCCAGACAGACCCTGTGTGGCCGCTCAGTGTTGCTTGCATGGAGGCTGTGAAGGGCCCTTGGGTCTTTGGCATGTGCCTCTGTGTCCTGTGGGGGTCCACCTGCAGCGCCTTGGGAAACTGCAGTGACTTGCAGGTAAAACTGAAAAGTCGTTTTACATCTGCTCAGAGTGAGTCACAAAGGACGACGGCTTAGGATTTGGGGTCCCAGCTACTTTGAACCAAATACATATTTGAGGTTCTTTTGGAAAGTAAGTGTGTGTGTGTGTTTAAGGAAGTTCTGGGGAAGTGATTTACATTTGTCAAGATGCTGGAAAAGACTTTTAGCAAATGGTGGTCATGCTCTCTGCCAGAGTGATGGACTACAGCAAGCTTACAAAACAAAAGCAAATCAAAGACAAGAGCTGTAAAATAAACATTGAAGGGTGAAGGAACTGCAGGCTGGACCTTCACTAACGGTAAATGCAAATTGAATACAAGGATATGGTCCATTTCTTTCTTTCTTTCATTCTTTTTTTTTGGTACATGCCCCTAGTGGGAACTGAACCCAGGACTCTCTGGTCCATAGGCCAATGCTCCAACTGCCAAGCCAAACTGGCCAGGGCGTTATGGTCCATTTCTTTAGCCCCTGTAGTGAAATTAAAATTCTACTATAAACACACTAAGAACTGTTCATTTTGGTCAGCTTAAGTTTTTGTTTTTTCTATTTTGTTTTTCAGTTGTTGTCTCTATTAAATTATCCATGGGTTTAAGATGGATGGAGAGAGAGAGAGAGATTTAATGTATATGTATTAAAAATTTTTTTCTTTTATTGTTTTTAGAGAGAGAGGAAGGGAGAGGGAGAGAGAAAGAGACATCGATGAGAGAACATCGACTGGCCGCCTCCTGCACGCCCCCCACTGGGGATCGGGCCCACAACCTGAACATGTGCCCTGACCAGGAATCAAACCAGTAACCTCTTGGTGCATAAGTTGATGCTCAACCATTGAGCCACATTGGCCGGACAATGTATATGTATTTTAAGTAAGTGAAAATTGAGATAAAAATTGAGTAATATGCAAATGGGTATGTGCATATGGGTCTATATAAATATATGTGTAAAAGTATATACATACTCTTGTTCTGTCTTTGTTACTTAGATACTTTAAAGGTCTTCTGCAAAATCAGTGCTTCCCCTCCCCTGCAGGTTAGCTCTGGATGGCACTGGAGAACTGAACAGCAGTGAACACGGGCAAAGAGCAAAGGCCTTCAATAAAATAGCCCAAATTCTGCCCTTGGTTAACCCCCCGCAAGCAGTGCAGCCTTCACCTCCAAGTCCTCAAGGGGGATAAAGTAGATATGTCTTCATTCAATCATCATTAAAAAATTATATTAAGCTCCACCTTGTTCCCAGACACACATTAGTAACTGAAAACATTTCTATGCTGCTTTCAACTTTCTCAAATAACTTTCCCCCACGTGATGCCCGGCGATCACCCTAACATCCTTGAGAAGTAGATATTATTGTTGTTCCTGCTCCATCTTCAGATGAGGAAATGAATCTGAGAGATGCTTAGCCACGGGCCAAGGTCACGCGGCACCGGAGCAGCAGATCCAAGGCTCAGGTCCATGGTCACTGATGGCAGAGCCCGTGGCGTTTCCACAGCACGACGTGGCGATCCACGCTCCGAAGTGAAAACAAATGAGTAAGTTCTGGGAGGAAAACTGAGAAGTTGTCTTTGAACATGGCTACATTTTAGGGGTGGTAACTTTTTGCATTCTTCTTTGGCAGTTGGACTGGTAATTACAAAGAATTGCTTTGGGGTCATCGACTGAGTCTGTATTAGGGAAATTGTTCAAGAATTGAATATAATCAGCCTAGTAAATTAAAAAGGAGCTAGGGCAGGGACAGAGTCTGCCAGGACATTACAGGATGTCTAACTGTGTTTAATCAGCCTTTTAAAAATGCATTGCTAGGAAGCAGTGATTGTCTTTAAAATACTTGAATTAGATTTACTGTCAAAGTTAACATTTGAAATAAGTAAAAGCGGCTTTCGTGAGCAAAACCTGAGGCCCAGAAATAAGGAGTGGGGTAAACAGTTCGAAGTGCCCCTGAAGGGAGTAGCTTTGGTCAAGGAAAATGGGAAGACAAAGTTTTTCTTTTGTGGAAATTACATGCTCGGAAAAAATAAAAAAAAATAAACAAATATAAAAAATAATATCATGTAAGGAAGTGATGAGTGCTAAGAGGAGGAAACAAAGCACAGTGATGAGGCAAAATGATAGAGGGTGCTGTTTTGGAAAGGGTAGTTTGGAAATGCTTCTGAAGAGAGAGGCTTCAACAGAGACCACAAGAAAAAGCAAAGCACTGAAAATACATGGAGAACGCAGATTCTGAGCAAGGGGAGAGCCAGTACAAAGGCCCTGAAGTGGGAAATTCCTTGGTTCAAGAAACAGAAAGTCCCATGTGTTGAGAGCAGAGTGAGCAAGAAGCTGGACGTACACAGAAGCCGGATCACGAGGAGACTTTTAGCCCATGGAGCAGGAGTTAATTTCATTATAGGTGTATGAGTCAAGGTTCTCCAGAGAAATGAAACCAACAGGAAATAGATATAAATATGGATATATAGATATGCATATTTATATGTGTATTATATTTTTTCTTATAATCTCTCTCTCTCTCTCTCTCTCTCTCACACACACACACACACACACACATATGATATTACTAAGAGATGCCCTAAAGATCTCCTGTTTTTCAGACATGTTATATGTCTATTATAGCTCAATTGAAAAAAAAATACCTACAGCAAATTAAAGAAATAAATGGGTAACTTGAACTTTAATAATCTATTTTACTTAACCCAGAGAGAGAGATTAATTATAGGACACGACGAATGTGATTACAGGGAGAATAAGTCTCCAGATCTGCAGTTATGAAGCTGGAGACGCAGGAGAGCCAATAGTGTCGTAGTCCAAGTCCAAAGGCCTAAGCTGAGAGCTGATGGTGCAGTTCCAGTTCAAAGGCCAGTAGACTGGAGGTCCAGGTACAAAAAAACCAATATCTTAGCTCAGAGTCAATCAGACAGAAGGAATTCCTCCTTCTTGGTAGAGAATCCACCTTTTTGTTCTATTCAAGCCTTCAACTGATTGAACGGAGCCCACCCACATTAGAAAGGGCAATCTGCTCCACTCATTCAACCAACTCAGATGCTAATCTCATCTGGAAATGCTCTCACAGACATACCCAGAATGTTTGAACAAATGTCTGACCATGGCAATTTTTTTTTTAATCCTTACCTGAGGATATTTTTCCATTTATCTTCAGATAGAGTGGGAGGGAGGGAAAGAGAGAGAGAAACATCAATGTGAGAGAGACACATCAGTTGGTTGCCTCCCACATGACCCCAATCAGGACTGAGATGAACTGTAACTGACGCACGTGCCCTTGACCAGAATCACACTCGAGACTCTCTGGTCTATGGGGCTGATGCTCTAACCACTGAGCTAGACTGGCCAGGGTACCCCATAGCAATTTTAAGTTGACACATAAAATTAACCATCACAAGTTCCCCCTTGTCCACTTGGCACCCATACACATCTGCTTACACCATAGTTAATCTCCGAACAAAGACTGTTAAAAGGTCATAATTCTGCCTAACATGATACAACTACCCTGTGTACAACTGAAAACACATGAACCCCTTCCCCAGAAGAGGAGGCAAAGTACTCGAGTGATATTTGCTCTTCTCCTTGATCTCTTAACTTAAATACCATGGTGTAAAGTCAATGCTGCTTCTGTAACATGGTAAGGAAATAAGAGGGGCAAGAAAACAAAAGTATTTGCGTAATGCAGATATCCGTATCTACACACATACACCCTATCATTTATAACAAAATAAGGGCATACTCATGACAGTTACCGTCCTCCTTTCTATAGTGATCACATGGCTGTCGCTGGTATTTATAACGATCTTCTTCTGCTACCCCTTCTGTATTTCTTTTGTCTTCAACAAGTACCTCCGCTGACCATGGTTTTTCACTTGCTGGGATGACCCAAACCTTCATTCCTGAAGAGTTGGGCCATTTATAGCTCTGCCTGGATTGCATCGTTGTAGTTTTCCCTTGACCTTAATCATGGGGCATGGTGATGCTAGCAGATGTCCTGTGGGATCTCCTGTTTTCAGACAGGTTACATGTCAATTACATCTATCTCAGTTTTAAAAACACACCTGCAGACCCTCTCCTTCCTGGGAGCTCTCCCGTGCCTCCCCTCTCCTCTCCCCTCACCTCCCAGGCATATCCCCTCCCCCTCTCTCCCCTAAGCTCCAAGGGCCCTTCCTTTGCCCCTGGAACTCATTTCCTGAGCCCATTTCTTCTACCACTCACTCCTACCTCTGTGACTTTCTTAACAGACTTTCTCTTATAGTTTGGGGGGGAGAAACTACAGCAAAAATTATATAAATAAATGGGTAGCTTGAACTTTCATAATCGATTTTACTTAACCGAATATAATCAAAATATTATCATGAAAAGCCATGGAAGCCAAAAGAAAGTGATATATGTTTGAAATGCTAAAAGCTCTGTCACCACAAAATCCTGTACCCATCTAAATATCCTTCAAGATATTTTAAATTCTTTCTTGCATACAAAGTCCTTGAAATTCAGTATGTATTCTTTTCTGCTGCTCAGCAGACCTCGGTTTGGAGCAGCCACAGTTCAAGGACTCAGTAGCCAGAGGAGGGCAGTAGTTTCTGCTTCAGACAGCTTAGAGGTAGAGCGAGCAGGTGGCGGAAATGTTCACAGATGAGACTGAAGACAGGAAAGTTTCTGATGACAGACTTCGTCCCGGAGGGTTGTGGGATGGCTGGAGGGTCAGGAGGGGATGGGAGCAGGAGTCAGACAAGAGAAAGTCCTGAACTTGACGAGAGTGGGAGTCAGAGTATAAAGGATGACCTTGGAGCCGTGGACTGTCGGAGGTGACTGAGGCGAACAGGGACAGAAACGGAGGGGTGGTTTGTCCCCACGGTCTCCTGTGGGGTGTGGATAATCGGGTCTCCTAAGCAGTCTGTAGTGAAGACAAAGGGAGAGGGGTCATCACTGGGCGTTCCCTCTGGTCCTGCTGGGCCGGGGCTCGGTCTGGGAGAGGGGTCAGGGACGCCCTCGCTCCTGCCCAGCCTGCTGCTGGAGGCGAAGAGTGAAAACAGAGGACACGTGTCTGTGTCAGGGGACTGGGCAGGATTTGTTACTTTGAACAAAGCAGTATTTTACCTGAGAAAAACAACACAGAATAGTAAAATTAAAGCCCCTTAACTAACGGATACTGACAATACAATTTAAAAAGACAATATCAGCAGAGCAGACAAAAGAAGGAGCAGGGAGAAGGCAAGGAGCGGAACAGGGAGGGACAGGGAGACAACGGGGGAGGAGTCAGAGGGATGACGGAGGGGCAGGAAGGTCCCGATGCTCAGGTCCCCCCTTATTTTCACAGACTCTGAAACACCCGCACTCGTGGGCTGGTGGCCGCTGTCCCCTTTCGCAGGGACTGTCAACGCCGGAGTCAGAACCTCTTCCCCCTCGCCATCCCCCGAATGGTGCCCGTGCACACCTGTCAGACCACCTGATCTTTTCTCAGGCTGACAGGCCAGGCCGTTGGCCTCCCACTTGGGTCTCCCTAGTTTACTCCACAGTCACGTGTCCTTAGATGAGAAAGTAAGTCCCCCTTGGCATCAATTTTCCCATCCATAGGCTTTCAGAGGACTAAGTGCTTAGCTAGGTTGTCATCTGAGGGATGACCTGCCTGCCATACAAAATCACACCTCGGGCTCCTATCAACCACGGGGACTCCTCCAAAGGCTTCTGTTTACTCCAAGCTGTTTTGCAGAAGTTAGGAAGTGTAGGAGGATCCCGATTCTCAAAGGGAAGGTGAAACCAGTGTCCAGCTCCAATCCTGAGAGCGTGAGGCTGCGAGTGAGCAGAGGACAGCCACCCTCCTGGGGTCCTCCAGGGCGCCCGTCAGGGGCAGGTCCCCACCCTGCGCAAGAGGCGTCAGCTCCTCAGGGGAAACAGCCCTGTGGCGAAAAAGGGTTTCTTCCCCTGGCTGGTTTGGTTTCGCGGTTAGAGCATCAGCCTGTGGACTGAAGAGTCTTGGGTTCGATTCCCAGTCAAGTCCACATACTTGGTTGCAGATCAACAGAAGTGACATCGATGTTTTTCTCTCTCCTTCCCACTCTATCTGGGAAAAAAAAAAAAATCAATGGCAAAAATACCCTTGGGTGAAGATTAAAAAATAAAATAAAAGGGCTGCCTTATCCAGTCTTATCTTTGTGTGAAATATTATCTCAATCTTTTTTTGTAAAAGCCAGTGAGAGGGTTTCACGACTCAGTCTAATCTCAGAATAGCATTTGACACAGTTCAGAGGCAAACAAAGACACTTGCCCAGTTAATTCAAGTTGGTGTGACAGCAGACGGAAACACCTTCCCCGGGAAGTCTATGCCACCTCAGGCAGACAGGGACGGAGTCTGTCCTGAGCCTTAGCCTCAGGGACATGTCCCATCGCCACCGACTCCCCTCAGTGTCCCCCACCCCCACCACCAGCACACACACCCTCGCTGGCAGGACAGACCCTGTTCCATGCCCAGAGCGTGGGCTGCCCAGGCAGGGGCTGAGTCACCCCGGCCGCCTCCATTCAAGGAAGCACATGCCCAGGGAATGATAATGTCTCAGCAAGCAGACTGCCTTTTGCTGGAAGGCATCGTTATCCGTTTTCTGAGTGGCGCCTACTCCTCCTCTCCCATTTTTCTCCTGTGGCTTTTCCCCATGGGCCGGGTGAGAGCTGGTTCCCCCACTTCTGGCTGGGTGCGTTCAGACTCCCGTGCCTCCAGTTTTCCATGTGTGAGGCAACACCGGCATAGGGCTGCTGTGTGGGTTGAAATGTACAAAGCATGTGAAAGACTGTGTCTCTTTCAGAGCAAGCGCCCAGGAAATAGTAGCTATTTTTATGGAGAAATCTTTGTTATTCGCTGTTCTTTGAGGGTGTAAGTGTAGCGTCAGGCTACTCCTGGTCTACTCCTGATTTTTCATCTCAGTTCCTCTTTCAGTAGACGATGGTTCCCCCTAACCCCCTCATTCCGACATCTACCACCATCACCAGCCCTTGAAGAACCCAAGTCAGAAAGATAAACATCCCCCAGTGACACCAGAAAGTTCAATACCTCAAACCATTCTTCCCCTGCACTATATTTGATCCATGCACAGAGTTGGTTCGCCCGGACTTCCCACCTTGGGGTGAGTACCTGCCACTCTGGTGCTTCGCAGCTTGCAAGGTTCAGGAAAGATCTTGTCCCTAAATTGGATCAAGAGTTATTGTGCTGCCCGGCCGGTGTGGCTCAGTGGTTGAGCATCGACCCACGCACCAAGAGGCTGCCAGTTTGATTCTCAGTCAGGGCACCTGCCCAGGTTGTGGGCCCGATCCCCAGTGGGGGGCATGCAGGAGGCAGCCAGTCGATGTTCTCTCTCATCAATGTTTCTATCTCTCTCTCCCTCTCTCTCTAAAATCAATAAAGAAAAATTTTTTTTTTTTTATTCTCACCCGAGGACATTTTTCCATTTTTTTTTGTTCAGATAGAGCAGGAGGGAGAGAGAAACATCGATGTGAAGGGACACATCGAGTGGCTGCCACCCACACGACCAACCAGGGCCGGGGACAAACTGCAACCGAGGTACATGCCCTTAGCGGGAACCGAACCTGGGTCTCTCTGTACTGCAGGCCGACACTCTAACCGCTGAGCCAAACAGGCCAGGGAAAAAAAAAATTTTTTTAATATTAAAAAAAAAAAAGATTTATTGTACTAAGGCTGACTCTAGGTATCCGCTCAGCCAGCCCTTTCTCTCCAGAAGAGTTCAAAGCGAAGAGACGCCTGCACGTGGGTGGCTGACAGGCCCACGTTCTCAGGGTGGCCTCTTCTCGGTCTCCAGCTTGTGTCTTCAGAATACGTTTCTTTAAACAAATGGCACTTAAACAACAGAGGACGTGGTATCTACGTTAAAGGTGAGGTGCACCATACTTCGTCCTCTTTGGAAGGGTTTCGGGTGGACTCGGCCACTGCCGGCGACAGAAGCACGTACCTCTGGGGGGACGCAGGCGGGAGCTGGGCGGTCTCCTGCTCAGTTTGCCCCTCTCAGGCTGCTCTCGAAGGCGGTAAGAGGCAACATCCGCTGGGTCCGCTCGGGTCATCTTTAATTGTCCTTAGGTCTGTTTTCCCCAGAGTCCGGCGGCTGCTCAAAAGTCCAAGAACATTTCAAAAAGCCAAAGTAAATAAACAAAAGAATCGTTCTCCATGGCTCCCCAGTCGATGTTCCCAAGTTTTTCCCAGCTATAAAAAGATATTGCAACGGACAGGAAATAGTATCCTGACGGACACACAGTCTCCTGAGAGAAAGTTCAACTTCTTGTCCCTCCAATGTTGCAAGTTGGCCAGAGAATCATCCCGACTTCCTTTGGAGGCCTCCTCACACGCTCTCCCGGGCAATTAGGTGTTTGAGCCGTGAGCCCCGTGACATAATCTGACCCTCGTGACCCTTTTAAGTAATCCAACTTACTGGGAAATCCCCATCTTTACCCTTAATTAAAAACGTTTTTTTAATTAACTCAGAGAATGACGCCTGGGTATATTTGGAGATCTTTTTTCCCACTTACAGCTGTTAGTAGTTTAAGAGGCAAAATATTTTTCAATGTGTGGTTATTTTTTTGTTTGTTTTTGGTTAATCCTCACCCAAGGATATTTCCATTGATTTTTTTTTTTCTTTTTTTTTTAGATAGTGTGGAAGGGTTGCCTCCTGTATGACAGGGGTTGAACCTGCAACCCAGGTACGTGCCCTTGACTGGGAATCGAACCTGAGACCCTTTGGTCCAAGAACTGATTCTCTAATTGCTGAACCGAACCGGCCAGGGCTGATTATTCATTTTTTTTAGAATCATTTTTCTTTTCTTTCTTGATTTTAGAGAGAGAGGAAGGGAGAGGGAGAGAGATAGAAACATCAATGAGAGAGAACATCAATTGGCCGCCTCCTACATGCCCTGCAGTGGGGATCTGGCCCACAATCTGGGCATGTGTCCTGACTGGGAATCGAACTGGCCTCTTGGTACATGGGTCGACACTCAACCACTGAGCCACACCAGCCAGGCTGATTATCCTTTTTTTTTTTTTTTTTTTTTATCCTCACCCGAGGACATTCATCCATTTTTTGTTCAGATAGAGTGGGAGGGAGAGAGAGGAAGAGAGAGAGAGAGAAACATCGACGTGAAAGGGACACATCGAGTGGCTGCCACCCGCACGACCAACCAGGGTCAGGGACAAACTGCAACGGAGGTACGTGCCCTTAGTGGGAACCGAACCTGGGTCTCTCTGGTCTGCGGGCCGATGCTCTAACCGCTGAGCTAAACCGGCCAGGGCGATTATCCATTTTTTTAAAAATCCATTTGACTTGTCATGTGTATTGGTTTCCTAATGCTGCTGTAACAGATTATCACAAATTTAGTGGTTTAAACAACACAAATGTATTCTATTATAGTTCTGGAGATCAGAAGTCTAAAGGCCATCTTACACGGATGGACAAGGCTGGCTTCTTTCGGAGAGTCCAGGGGAAATGTGTTTCTTGTCTTGTCCTGCTCCTGGAGGCTGCCTTGGCTCATAGCCACGCCGCTCCAAATTCTGCTGTCTTCATAGCATCTTTTTCCTCCCTGGACCATCCTGTGTCCCTCCTTTAAGGACCCCTGTGCATATTGAGCATATCCAGATAATCCAGTATAATCTCCCCCTCTCGAGATCTTTAATCCCTCCGCGAGGTCTCTCTTGTTATATACAGTCATATTCACAGGTTCTGGGGTTTAGGAAGTAGAAGTCTTTGGGAGGCTGCCATTCAATCTAAGACAACAATTTTTTAATTCATTTTTAAATGAATGTGGACCAGCCTGCACTATTTTGTTTAAAACAATGTCTTGTTTTATACATCACAATATGGGTCAACTGATAAAACCAAGTTTCTCTGTCCGGCAGCCTGCACTATTTTAGTAGCTAATTTGAAATTCTGTCCTCGACTGAGTTTTTCAGTCACTGTCCTCTAGGATCACACCCCCTCACAATACTTCATTCCTTGTCGTGGCCATTAGTCCCACCTCACAGCAAACTAACTGTGTTCATCAGAACTTTTCCGGTTGCCAGTGTAACTCAGCTTCAACGGGCTTAAACAATAATAATAGTAGTAGTAGTAATAATAATAATAATAATAATAATAAAGTATTGGCTCACATAACTGACACAGGGATATGAATGAGCTCAGGCACAGAGGAGCAAGTACTCAGTTACATCTTCAGGCATTTCTTACTTGCTCCATCTCTTTGATTTGCTTTCTGCTAGGTTGGCTTTTTCTCCAAAAGCTAATGCTTCTAAGTATTTGCAAAAAAAAAACTGGCCACCAAGAGTGCCCGTCCTCCAATCTGTCTGGCAACCCTAGCCAAGGAAGGCACTGCCTCTTTACCAAAAGTTCCAGCCAAAGTCCCAGACAGGATTCTCCTTGACCAGCTGAGGCCATGAGCACACCCCTGAGCCAGGTCCAATCACTAATGGGGCCTGGTGTCTGACTGGCCAGGCCTGAGTCAGGTGCTCTCCTTGAAGCCGAGGGTAAGCAGATGATCTAGGCCACCGAACAGAAAGGGAGGGACTCTCTCACCCAAATAAAGATGTGGCTAATAGAAGACAGAAATGGATGAAGCCAGACAAAGTCAACATGCCCGCTGCAGCTGTGTTGAACCCAAGAGGTGCCTTTTACATGGAGTTTCTAAAGGTATATCCAGACAAATTGCTTTTTAAAAGCCAGATCCTTACCTCTGTCCTTGAACTGCAGTGTGAATGGGTGGCTTGTGGAGTCTCAGATAACACTGGATTCAGGGGAGAAATGATCTTTCCTCATGCATAGAGCTGAATCATGAAAGGATTATTTTCTTACTAAATGGATCACATATTCCAGGATCACAAAAATACCACATCACAAAAATCTGAACCCATAGTCAAATCTGTTAACATTGGGAAAATCGAAAAGGAATAAGTCATTCAATAGTCCAAAAGATTAAATGACAACAATAAAAACATGATGTTTAGAGCACTATATTCTTTTTTCCAGTAAGACACAGAACGATAAGAGTAACTGAACTAAAGTTTCTTGCCTTTCAAAACTCTTCTGACTAAAAAGAGACCAATAAAGCTTTCAGTTGCATGATTTTCAAAGGCTTTTAAAGTTTATTTTCACCAACTAGTCCTTGGATGCTCAAAGTCAAAAACTTCTTTTTAGAAAGGGTGTTCTCTCTTCATCCAAGAGTAGACATAGATTGTTTAACTTCAATTTTTTATTTGGAAAAGATAACCTAGAGATATAGGAAAAATGATTTCATGGATAAAGGAACATGAAAAATCATAATTTACACACATTTCATATTGCTAATTTTTATTTATATTTTAAAACTATAATCTTCGTTAAATGATTGTAACAGGTGGAATAATCAGCTGAGTATATGCTGAATTAAGAAACTGGCCTGCAGGGGGTGCTGCTTACCTGATCTTTCTGTTTCGAGCGCAGGAATTTCATTGCAACTTTCAGTAGGGATCCAGCTTGCTCAGGAATAACTGCGGGAGTAACAGAAGGGGTTGGTTGTTTGTTTTTAATTCTTGCCCAAGGACATTTTTTTTTTAAATTTTTTTGTTCAGATAGAGCGGGAGGGAGAAAGAGGAAGAGAAACAGGAAGAGGAAGGGACACATGGAGTGACACGACCACCAGGGCCGGAAACAAACTGCAACCGAGGCACGTGCCCTTAGCGGGAACCGAACCCGGGTTCCTCTGGACCGCAGGCCGACTCTCTAACCGCTGAGCCAAACCGGCCAGGGCCAAAAGGGGTTGCTTAAATCACGACATTATGTAAGCAACTAAAAAGTTAAAATATCTAAACTTGCATCACAAAATGAGAATTGTGTACATTATTGTAATTAACTGGACAACATAGGAGGAAACATGAATAATAAACTCTGAGATTTTGATACTACAATTCCTCTGAGGAGCTGGTCAACCCATAATACAGTTAAAAGTATTTTACTCTTTTCTGATTAAAGATCTTTTCTTTCTTGTTTTTGAATTCTTCTGTGTTTTTTTTCTTCTAATTTTAGAAGTCTCTACTTTTTAGCTTGCACTTACATCAAGTTGAAATTTTAAATACAAAGTATTAATTCTCTATCATCTAAATTATTTTTTAAAGTTTTTTCCTTAACCCTGCCGGGTTTGGCTCAGCAGTTGGAGCGTCAGCCTGTGGACCAGAGAGTCCTGGGTTCAGTTCCCACTAGGGGCAAGTACCAAAGAAAAAAATAAAAAATAAAAAAAAGTTTTTTTCCTTTAAAACACTCTGTAAAGTTCGTGCAACAACCTATCTGCCTTTGGAGGTGGTCCTCCTCCATCAAAGTAGGTAAAACTGTGATAAATTAAGGGGCCCTGTACAGCTCAGAGTTGCATTCATACACAACCCATCTAGGAAGCAAAATAATTTTTAAAAGCGTTTCCAACTCTTCATGAGTATATTGAATCATATTGAGAGATATTTTAAGTTCACAGAAACACTTTCTCTCTCTCTCTTCTCATTCTTCTCCCTCCTGCAAACTGCTCAGGATCCCCTCCAGCTCTCTCTCTCTCCCAGCCTGTTTCTATGTAGAGATTTAGCCTCTCTGAATTAATTGTTACCTTTTCTCCTACTGCTCATCAGTCCACTTCCACTGACCACAACACTAAAGACTGGGCCACTCAGCCAGCCAAGTTCAAACTATCCCCAAAAGGCAAGTAACGGGAGATTCTTTGCAGAGAACAGCAGAGTGCTCTGAAGCCCGAGAGAGGCCAGTGAGGAAGGGGACGAGAAAATTCCACAGCACTGACGCTCCCTGTGTTTCCGCAAGTCCCAGCCCTTCTTTCCAGCCCTCCGCTGTTCCTCTGGGTGAAGCCCGTGGGCTCACGGCTGGCCGGGCGTTTACAGTCATCTGCTTTGTGTAAAGAGAAACAACTTCCAAACTGAGTCTGAACTAAAAGCCTTCGCTGTTGCCCAGAACTCATGGATGCCAAGGCAATTTCAAGGAAAACTATCCATGGGACCTTTCTGGACACAGCAGTTCAAATGCTCACTGTCCAGTCTGCACAGAGCAGATTTAGGGCTCAGCCCTGGAGCTGGCCCGGCTGGTCCCCAGCCCAGCGCTCGGCGTTCCAACCGCAGCTCCAGCACGTTGCTACCTCCACCTGCCTCCGCTGATTTACCTGAAAACGGTGAGAATACGATCTACCTTGTGGAGTTGGGACAAAACCCGTCACTAAATGTGACATGCTGAGGCAGTGCCCAGCACAGAGAAAGGCTCCGTGTGTATCTCGCGTAGGCCGCGCGGACTCACTGATTCGGATACTCATATATTGACTAGTAAAGTCGTTTGGGTATATTCACGGCTTAGAAAGGTTCCTATAGGCTGTAATATGCATAATGCTGCGCGGTTCTGGGTTCACAAAAGGTGTTATTTCGTTAGACTAGAAAACCAAAGTAACTCTTAGAGTCTCCAGCAAGCAACAGGTTGCCTCGGCTAAGAGGAAAACCCATGTACATAGATGTCGTGGCCCTGCATCCCCAGGGTAAACTTCTGGAGCGAATTTCCCGTTGGACAGCCGGGCTGCTGTTCGCAGTGGGCAGCTGTGCCAGGCGCGGGCCCTGGGCAGACGGGACGCGGTGTGCACGCTGCAGGGCGGCCCGGTCACTCCGGGGCTGCGCTGGGTGGACACCCAAAGGCTGAACCCTCCTGCGCCCGCGCACAGCCTCCTCCACCTCCCCGCACAGCTTATATGCCTTTTGGGGACTCCAGTGTCCCGGTTCTGGCGCTAGCTGTGTGTTTGGGCTTTCAAGCTCTTATTGCTTTTGGAAGCCTCTCTAGTCACTTTCCTTGTCTTCTGCCCCTAATTTGGATTTAGCCTTCTCCCTAGTTCTACGCCTTTCAGCCCAGGTTACAGCCTCACGGTTATCTTATCTCCAGCAGAAAGTAACAGATGATGATGAGTTCGTGTTCTTAATTCCTACGAAAAATGGTTATTGTAGGAATCTTGCCTAGGTTCTAGGACTATTACACATTGTGAGTAGGTCAGTCTCCATTTGGAAATCATAGTGTGTGTGTTTTTAAAATATATTTTTATGGATTTTTCTAGAGAGAGGAAGGGAAAGAGAGATAGAAACATTGATGTGAGAGACAAACATCCATTGGCTGCCTTTTGCACGCCCCCCAGTGGGGATCGAGCCCACAACCACGGCATGTGCCCCGGCCAGGAATTGAACTGGGACCGCTCAGTCCATGGAATGACACTCAATTCACTGAGCCACACCAGCCAGGTATGAAATCATAGTGGGTTTTTTTTACTGGATGGGGTAGAAGTTGAGGTTCCTACTTGATCATCATTGACATCGGAGGGAGGGGCTACATTACTGTTAGACAGAATGGGAGTTCCAGCTCCATGGTCAACCAAGCTGCCACCTCCCTGGCTCCCCTCATGGCCCCCCGATTGGTGTCATGATTGCTGGGGAGGTGTGGACATCTGCATGGTCTCCAATGATACTTCCTGCCCAAGACAGAGGAAAGTCCCAGCTCCCTCTTCAGCTTTCTCCAGCCCAGTGGAGGTTTCTAAGGGGAAGCTATCAGCCTGGGGATGATGGGAATCTAGGCTTCCCGATCCAGCTTTTCCTGGCACGGGTAGGCGGGGCTGCACCTTTTTCTGGGGTGTTTTACTAGAGCAGAGAAGTTATTGTCTCATGGTTTTCTGTCTTGCCAGCTGCCCATGTCTTGGTTCTTTGGCTAGAGAGCAGGTTCATTTTGTTTAGTCTACATTCACTGGCATTTCTGGGTTGCCAGCTTCTTTAGCTCCAAGTCTGGGATATGTGAGGAAAAAACAAAAACCATAAAAACCCAGGGAACACATCACCTCTGGTCCTGAGGTCCCTAGCCAGCCTCCTTCTTCTCTCTACCTTTCAAAGTCATCTTATGTTTATTTTGTCTATAATGTCAGGGTTTTTAGTTGTACTTGGTAGAAGGAATAGGTAGCTGCTTCTTTTTTTTTTTTAATGAAGCTGCAGTAAGCCATTATAAACACTAGAGGTCTCTTCTAGCTGTTTTTAGTGATTTTTTTAAACTGAAGAAAGGCTAATTTTCAGCATTCTCAAACATAATATTGGGGAATTAAATTGCTTTATTAATTTATTTTCAACTCCTAAATATCCAAAATTTTTAAAGTTTTATCTTTAATAAAGTCAGCTTTATCCAATTATTTTCTCAAGATTATGTTATTCAATGGGATTGGCTATAGGCCTGACTAAACCGTGGTATTATTATTATCCTCATTAATCAGTCTATTTTTGACATGTTCTATTCATTAAACTCTGTAGGAAACACGTCACTGCCTTCAGAAACATTACGATGTGAAACTACAAAGTAACACTTAAAATAAGGTTTCAGAACTTGCAATTAGTTTTATTACCCACAACCTAAGGAAAGGCAACTTACAATAGGAGTCTCCCACTTTGACCAACCTTGGTAGTTGGAGGAAGGCAGCAGATATTGCGACACTTGAATTTTTACATTTTTGTTTACCACATGTCAACAAAAATTAGTTAAACACTGCTTCTGGAAAAGAAAAAAAAAAGGGAGTCCTTGGGGCTGTTCTAGTTGGCTGTCAGCTCCCACAGACGGTGCTGCCGGCTCACAGCCTCCCCCACATTCTTTCATCTTCTTTCCGAACGGAGTGATCAATCTTTCTAAGTGTCACCACAGCAGTTCAAATGGGAACTCTTAGTGCCTTTGGAAGTGTAGGTTACCTTTCCCGTTCAAGTGTAGGTAAAGGTCATAAACTGCTTCTCTAACTCTGATCTCTAAAAACCATTGGCCAGCTGATAATTTAAAACCACTTTTTTTTTGCCCTGGCTGGTTTGGTTCAGTGGTTAGAGCGTCAGCCCACGGACCAGAGTCCCGGGTTTGGTTCCCGCTAAGGGCACGTGCCTCGGTTGCAGTTTGTCCCCGGCCCCAGTTGAGTGGCGACCACTCATAATGTCTCTCTCACATAGATGTTTCTCTCTCTCTCTCTCCTTCCCGCTCTATCTGAAGATAAATGCAAAAAATGTCCTTGGGTGAGGATAAAATAAAAAATAAATACATACATAAATAAATAAATAAATAAATAAATAAATAAATAAATAAATAAAACCACTTGTTTTACATCCCGATACAGGCATTCCCATGACCTCTAATTGGACCAACAGGATTTTCCTATTAAATCACTTCTGTATTTAGAAACCAAAAATTACCATAACAAAACATGGATGCCACTTTTAAACCAAGTTGCCCTAAACGTTTGACCTTGGTGCATTTGTGAGTGAAGAAGGTGAGAAAAAAAAATAAAATAAAATGTACTTTCTTCCAATAGAAAACTTTGTAGTTGTCTATTATTCAGAAGTAGTGGTCCTGACAGCTCTTTTTTCAAAAAGGTCAAAAATCTGCATACGGAAAGACATCCCCTGCTGTGAACTCTGAAAGTGATGTATATGAAATAAAGGCGAATTCACTTGCCGCAGGACCTCGGGCATCACTTCTATAGAATCACCTGCATGGTGCCTGCTGGAGTTTCCCAATGCCTTCTGCTTCTACCACCCACTGACTGCTGTCTCTGCTCAGTTTATTCGTCCGTAGAGACCAGTGCCTGCCTCATAGACTTCATGGAGGTTTCTGAGGAACAAATGAGATCAGAAAAACAAGCAGAATATTGTAAACAAAATTTAGTCATTTCATTCTATAAGCTGTTTGTGTTTTTTCCAAAAGGGAAGAGACATTACTGAAACCTGACAGTAAGTTAGAGTTTGCTGGCAGCATGGGGAAAGTGTTTTTGGAAAAAATAAAACAGTGTATAAAAAAACCACTGTTGTCTAAAATAATTCAGAGCATTGGAAAAAACACAAGTGGTGTTTGTGTAGACAGAGTAAGAGGAGAGATTGAAGAAATAGACAGGATCCATATCTTGAGCATGGTACCAGAGCCAAGGGGTTCGCTTGCCTGCGTGCATGAAAACCCAATTAAACGCAAACAGAAGTTTGCAGCCAAGAAAGTAGAGGTTTATTAATTGAGGAAGTGGTGTCAAGCCCAGTCACAGGTTAGCTAATGCTCAAAGACTTGGCTCCCTGATTGTTCCAGGGGATGGGTTATATAGGAAAAAGATCATTAATCATGATGGCTAAATGAGTTGGGGTGATGGGCGCTAGTGACTGGGGCCAGGGTAGAGAGTTGTTGATCATTAATCAGGTCCTGATGTCGGTGATGGCATTGTTCTGTCTGGTTTCACGAGGGTGTGGTCTGTAGGGTCGTCCAACTTTTTTGGGCCTGGTACTGAAGTCAAGATGTTATCTTTAGCTTGACTGAAGCTGTATCTGTGATCAACAGACCTGAGGCTTTCTTAAGATAGTTTAACGCTAACCAGAATCTGATGTCCTTAAGGGCTGAGTGATTAAGGAAGAGAGCAGACTGACAAAGGAGAAAGGATCGTTTCAAAAGAAATGAAGTTTCTGCGCAGTTACAAGCAGCCTAGTTATTTTTAAAGGAGTGTGCCTTTCTCTATCCTTATGTCACAGGACGCCCTAGTGCTTTAACAGAAGAGCCAAATGAATCTCTCTACATTTAAGAGAGGTCTTACTGATGGTTCTCGGAGGAGCAACTGAAGAAGGGGAGACTGGAGACCAAGAGATGAGTGAGAAGCCTGTTGCCTTAGTCCAGGAAGGAAATGATGAAGTCCTGAACTAAGGCAGACGATGAGAACAGAGATGCTGACCATGCTGAATAAATGGAACTTTGGGTCGTGAGTTCTGCTGGGGAAAGAAAAATTGGAATTAAGGATGACTCCCAGATTCTCTGACATAGAAAACTGGATAGATGGTTTTAAGTGTTGTTGTTTAGCATTGTATGTTCATAAATCTCTAAGAACAGACCTCTTCCTAATTTCGATTTCTGTGGTCCATCCACAGACACAACTTCCCTAAGCTGTGTTAGCCCAAATCCCACAGCAGCTCCATGATCTGAACACGACCCTTTCTCCTCCCAGTCTTCTGTACTCATACTGGCCCTGTCCAGTCTAATGGCGCCTGACTCACCTGCCTCTTTTCTTTCGTTCCTTCACCTTTGAAGTCCTTAGGACATCAGGTTCTGGTCAATGGAACAGAATTTGGGTCAAACTAAAGATAACACCTTGACTTCAGTTGTGTTTCAGCCCCAGGCCCACGAAAGCAGAAGGACCCTACGGACCACACCATCACAAAGCTAGAAGAACATCACCATGGCTGATGTTGGGACCCGACACAGTGATCAACTACTTCCTATACCGGTCCCAGCCAATGACCTCAACTCCATTAGTAGTTTTTCCCGTATATAAACTCTGTCCCTGTGCTGGCCAGCGGGGACCCCCGTCTTTGAGCACCAGCTCACCTGTGACTCCAGGCTTGGTGCTATTTCCTTAAAATAAACCTCTACTTTCTCTGCTACAAACTCCTGTTTGTGTTTGATTGGACTTTGATGTGCGCAGGAGAATGAACCCTTTGGTCAGTGAAAAAAACCAAGGTTCCTTTATGCACTGTGCCTTGTGTGAAACTGTAAATCATCTCTGCATGGTGTTATATATTTTATATATATAACTCAGCTTTCAAAAACAATTGAAAAATGAAAGCATTTTATTCTGTAATGTCAGGAGGTCTTAAATTTTCTTTAAAATAATCCACTGAGAGAGCAGGAGTCTATATGGCTAAAGTGAATTAAAATAGGCTATATATCAGTAACTGAGGAAAGTGGATGCATGAAAGGTCGGCAGTATACTATCCTCTCTACCTGTGTATATTTTTAAATTTACATAATAATCCCTTATTATTTTTTAACTAAAAAGCTAAGGAAATTTCGTTGGAAAGGCAAGGCAAGAGTAAACCATGAGGAGAATGAACAACGGTGGCAGTACAGTTTGTGAATCTCTGAACCTCCTGCAGAATCCCTGTCGGTGCTCAGTGGAGACCTCGGTGAACTATTCTGAGTCGCTGTAGAAACTGGGACACTCTTTGCAGGCCTCGTTACACAGATGTTGCAGGTGGATTGGCGGTGTTGGATGTCCAGGGGTGTACCTATGAATTCTTGAAAGTAATGAAGCAAACCAACTTGCTATGATCAACCCTGTAATAAAGAGAAAATGCCTAGAGCAGAATCTGTGGACATAGAAGGGGCCACATACTCACCCTGACAAGCTGCACGGCAGGTCTTACAGACTCAGAGACCAAAAATAACCAAAAAAGATGGTCTGAAGATAAAAATTCCTAACTAAAAGTGGGCCTGGCCTGTGTGGCTCAGTGGTTGAGCACTGACCCATGCACCAAGAGGTCACCAGTTTGATTCCTGGTCAGGGCACATGCCCAGGTTGTGGGCCAAATCCCCAGTGGGGGGCATGCAGGAGGCGGCTAATCAATGTTCTTTCTCATCAATGTTTCTATCTCTCCCTCTCTCTTCCTCTCTCTCTAAAAATCAATAAAAAAAACTAAAGAAATAAATAAAAATGGGTCATGTAGTTACATCTTAGGCCCGTAGCTTCTTTGACAACGGTCAGTCTCTACCTTACATGAGCCTGTCCACTGTCCTTTCGTGTCTAAGATAACACACCTTTGAAATGTCAGGGCAGTCTCCTTTTCCAGACCCTCAGGGCACACCCACCTCACCAGAGCCAGAGGCCACAGAACCCCTCAGTGACACCTCGTACCCGGAAACCATTCCTGTGTCCTACAAATGTTTATTTTTTGCTATCCTGTACCCACCCATATAAAAGAAGTATCTGCCTCTTCATTTTATGCTTTATCCAACCCAAGAGATCTTGCTTTGCTTTCTCCTGCCTCCCTAATCTATCACCAATGAATTTCATGTTACCTGCTAATGCCTTCTCCGATTCCGATGTATAAAATAAGTGGTAAAACTGCCGTTTTCTGGAGCATTTTCTCAGCCCGTTGAGATTTTGCTTCCCGGCAACTGTTGTCAGTTTGGTTCAAATAAACTCATAAAAATTCTCTACAGTTGTGGATGCTTCTTCCATCCACCAATCCTACTTGACTAGATAGAAACAATAGGGGCAAAGGGTAAAAGTAGGGGAGACCCACAGAAGGGGAGAACCTCAGGAAGTTCACTGCCATACTGTTTAATCAGCTGGTGAAAACAAAGGGAGAGGTCCAGAGTCGTGGAGTTAGGAAAGCTGTCCGCTCCTTACTCCTTTTATGAAGACAGAAAGACTCATTTTGTTTACAAATGAGCTGCGGGAAAGGATCGATCACATCTCAGACCACGTTGTTATTATTTTTTAAAAAAAGAGAATCGGGAGTACATTAAATCCTTACATGCTGGAATTTTATGCCAGGAATTTAAGCTCGCAAAATGAATGGAAACTGTAACTTAATATTTCAAAAATAGGTTAACATAACATAAGGGTAATTATAAGCTTTGATGAAACATCAAAAATCAGAATTTTAAAAACATTTGTAAATAAAATAAGTAGAGAAAAGAAAATGTTAAATGAGAACGTGAAAGAATTCAGAAATATTTTTAAAAAATAATTTGAGAAACAAAAATAAACCAAATGAGATACAATAAGAAACAACAGAAAATGTTTTATGGGAAGTAGAAGATGGCAAAGGAGGAAACTTTTGAAGATCATAAAGAAATGATGACCCCCAGGCCAGTTTGGCTCATGGTTAGAGTATTGGTCCAAAGAGTCACGGGTTCGATTCCAGTCAAGGGCATATGCCTCAGTTGGTTCGGATCGTGTGGGAGGCAACCAATTGGTGTATCTCTCTCACGTCGATGTTTCTCTCTCTCTCCCTCCCTCTCTCTCTCTCCTCCCTCTCACTCTATCTGAAGATAAATGGAAAAATATCCTCTAGTAAGGATTAAAAATAAATAAATAAGTAAATGAAGAAAGAAATTGAAAAGATTTGACAGAAAATGGTAGCTCTAGAAAACACTAAAAGAAGATCCAATGTGTATTTTTGGTGGTTTCTTAAGAAGAAAACCTAAATAATTGAAACAAATAAATGCTGAAATCTAAACTTTTTCTAGGAAGGAAGTTCGATTGCATAAAAATATGTCCCCTGATTGCATAAAATAGCTCACAGTGCAAGATTTATTCTAACACAACTATCTTTTTTCTTGGGTGGGGGTGAGGGTGTCCTTTAGGCATCAACACAAAAAAATCACAGTATTTAAAAGAAAAAGAAACTCAACTTTCATCAGATTTTCAGCCAGCACTACTTTATGCAAAAAGACAATGGCATACCATTTTTAAGATGCTCAAGAAAAGAAAATGTGAACTAAGGATTATCTATTCAGCCAAAGTGAATTTCAAGTGCAAGAATTTCCAGACAAATATTTCCTAATGACTCTATTAGAAAACAAACTTCAAACAACTAAAATGACCACAGACACAGTCCAAGCATGGTGAAATACAGTGAAGCCTGTGAGCCTGGCCCGTATTTCCAGGCAAACCTCTGTAATTTTGCACCAAACCACAAACTTCTGTCTATTTCAAGCAGAGAGTTGTTTGCTTTAGTGAACCTGACATTTCCAGTCGAGATGCAGAAAACTGAGCTAACTTTTACCAGATTTCTAGGGAAAAACAATTCTAGAAGATTCGGGACACATTTCCAAGAATGAAAGCAACATGTTATTAACCTGAAGATAATTGATATGTATTGCTTTTTAAGAAATAAATTAATGATCTATTGCTGCCTAAGCAATAGAAAATTAATACCCGTCTTAGCTAGGTGGTTCTAACTCAGGGTCACTCATGATGCTGCAGACAGTTTGCGGACAAGGGCACTAGGCAGCTCAAGGCTTGACTGGGCTGAGACGTGTTCCACGCTCCCCCACAGTTGGCAGGCCTTCATTCCTCACCACCGGGGCCTCTCCCCAGGCTGCCGGAGTGGGCTTGCGGCATGGTAGCTGCTTTTCCCCGGAGCCGGAATCCAAAAGAAAAGCAAAAACTCAAGACAGAAGTTACAGTCTTTTATCATCTAATCTTGGACACTACCTACTGTCACTTCCGCCACGTGCAATGGTCAGACGAACCAGCGTTCATCACAGGAGGGGACACAAGGGTACGAAAACCAGGAGACAGACATCATTGAGGGCTACTTTGAAGGTTCAGAGATGTAAATATCTCAACATCACATGACTGAAAAGAGAAAGATCTGAGTTTCAAACCAAGATCCACATGACTCCAGAAACTGTTTTCTTTGTAATATTTTCAAACCAAGGTGGAATGTGGATGATGAATGTGCTAGACCTTTCTCTTATAAATAAACTTCAAGAAAAATAAAACCAACTTTTCCAAGAGCTCCATATCTATACTTTTAACATATAAATGAGTCGTACCTTATTCTCATGGGAGCCTGGATGCCCACAAACACCTTGAAAGTTCAGCTTGATAGCTTAGTTGCCCATCACTTTTAAGTAGAGAAACTCATAATGTTCATGTATGTGATTTATGTGTTTGGTTTTGGTAAGGAAGGAGCAAAATGGTCTGGACTGCAGAATTCCAACCTAAATTTTAAAGGAGTGATTTCTCAACCTCTTTTGTTGATACTATCATTATATAATATAAAAAAAAAAATCACATTCTTTTAGATACCACCACTATTCTCATCTGAAAAGTCTATAGCTATTGGGAAACCGTCAAGTTACAATGGCAGACACAAATTTTCCAAAATTCTAATGTTCACTTGAAAGCTTGACTTTTTAGTATTAGCAAGAAATACTTTTTAGTATTGGCCGGTTTGACTCAGCGGTTAGAGTGTTGGCCTACGGTCTGGAGAGTCCCAGGTTCGGTTCCCTCTAAGGGCACGTACCTCGGTTGCAGTTTGTCCCCGGCCCTGGTTGGGTCGTGTGGGTGGCAGCCACTTGATGTGTCCCTTTCACGTCGATGTTTCTCTTTCTCTCTCTCCCTCCCACTCTATCTGAACAAAATATCAAAAAAAAAAAAAAAAAAAGAAGAAGAAGAAAGAAATACTATCAGTTGTTTTCCTTGAGGTGGTGGACTCACTTTTTTCATTCTTGGGGTCAAAAAAAAAAGGTCACCAAATGTCAAAGTCAGTTTGGGCTGCTATAACCAATTACCATAGATTGGCTGCTAATAAACAACAGAAATTTATTTCCCACAGTTCGAGAGGCTGGCAGTCTGGGGTCAGGGTGACAATGTGGGTGGAGTCCAGAGAGCCCTCTTGCAGGCTGCAGATTGCTGACTTCTGGTTGTACCCTCCCGTGGCAGAGAGCAGAGGAAGAAAGTAAGCTCACTCACGACTCATAAGGGCACTGATACCATTTATGAGGGCTCCACCCTCATGACCTATGTTAAAAAAATTATTTTAAGCTGTAAAACTGTATTCACTGTGTATATTCACTCTTTTCTTTTTTCCTTTTAATCTCTTATCTCCCTCCCCACTATATTCACACCCATATTTCCACACATGTGCTTGCAAACAGAAACACATACATGTTCTCTCTTCACATGTATGTCAGATCAAACACTTCCACTGTTCTTTTGCACTGCTAAGAGTTTCTCAGAAGACAAATACCAGCATCATCTAAAAAATTAACTAATTAATTTAGTGACATGGTGATGCCCATTGTTTTTGTTCTAATTTTTTTTTCTTTATTGATTTTAGAGAGAGAGGAAGGGAGAGGGAGAGAGAAACATTGATGAGAGAGAACATCAATTGGCCCCCCTCCTGCATACCCCTCACTGGGGATTTGGCCCGAAACCTGGGCATATGCCCTGACCAGGAATCGAACCGGTCACCTTTTGGTGCATGGGTCAATGCTCAACCACTGAGCCACACCAGCCAGGCAACTTTTTAATACTTTTTTTAGGGGGTGGAACAAAAGCGTATTTTCTTGTTGGGATGGAAACGAACACTCTTCAGGCTTTTGTGCAGAGGGTGAGGAGAGGACGACTTGAGTAAAGGGGATACCCATGAGCTTGACATAAGTTTTAAAGGTTGGTTCAAAGATAAAGATTTGGCCATTGCGGTTTCATAACAAACCTGAGGATGAGAACGAATGTATTTCTAAATGTCTCCTAAGAGAACCACCCTTCAATACGGTGTGGATCATAACAGAAGACACTCAGAAGGGGCACCGTTTCCCCAGGGCTGGGTGGTGGTGGAGAAGGGGCTGGGAGGACCGGGAAAGAGCAGGGAAGGGATGGTGAGAAAAAGGAACCATTTTATGGTAGAAATAAATTAATAAAATAGTCAAAAGAGAACAAACCTCCACAATAGTGCATAGATATCATTCACTGCTATCCCACTCTGTTCCAAAAACACATTTAAAATGCTGGTGTGAAAATCACAGCTCACCGAGGCTTTAGCTTGACACTCACCAAACCCCTCGGCGGGGCTGCCCCACCGGGTGGAGCCCTCTGTCTGGGTGCACAAAGCTTGATTCACAGACACAGCTAAGTCTCCCCAGCATTCAGAGGCGGGAGGGTGGTCCACGGTCACCAGAGAATTACTTCCTCACAGAGTCAGCTACCCTAAGGTGACCTCCGTGGGGAATCCTTGGTCAGTGTTGAGTGCAAAGGGCCAGCTTCCGGCAGAGCCACGAGGAAGGAAGGACAGTCTCGCTTACAGTCACTGGTCGCTTCAATCAGAAGTTCAAGGCTGATACTGTGTAAGCCTAAGAAATTCTGGGGTCCTTTCTGGGTCTGGAGAAGAAGAAACAAATTAAATATTTATTAGTATTTGGCTCTCGGTAGATATTTCTGTAAAGGCACAGATAACCTGCTGCCTCCTGAAGGCAGACAAGTGCAGCTGAAGCGAGCTGGTTGACCGGCTTCTGCCATTCCAACAGAGACCCTCCCGTGTGGGGGACTCGGAGGATCTCACTCTGTGGGCGCGAAAGAAAACACTGACCTTTCTTCGGTACAATCATACTTGACTGACCTGAAAGGCACTTGAAATCAAAGAGGTAAACCACGCAAAGCACGAGCCAAATCAGCTCTGCCTTCGGCGATCTTGTGTAAAATTATGTACTTTAATCCTCAGTTAATTAAATAAGCTTATCTGGTAACTACCAAAATCTGAGAAAAGATACAATCTTTTGCTGTTATCATAAGTAGCCAGTATATGAGCCACATTAGCTATTATCAGTGGGAAAAATCTCAATGCCATTACTACAATTTCAAAGGAGTGGGATTTTCCTGCTTCCCAAGGGCTCAGCTCTAACCGCATCTGTCAGCGTTTTAATTTTGAAAAAAATGTTTGCCATATACACGTATCTGAGTAACCATAGTTATTCTTTTAGCAAAGTGAATATAATAAAGGCCTTTTTATTTTTTTCTATTAGACGCCAGACAATATAACAAAAGTGTTTCTTTTATTGCTTTTTTTTTTCTTATTATGGTGATAATTGTATTGTCAATAAAGCTAATGAAGACTCTTCTTATGGATACTTCAGTCTTTATTGATCTTTGACCCATTTGAACTTCTATAGCCACACAAAATTTAACTCTTAAGCAATCTTTTATTCTTTGCTCTTCTGGTTAATAGCAAATCCTTGCTAGCCTTGTTAAGAGTCATTTATTTGTCAATATAACTCAATAAAGAATGAAATAACATTGCAAGTCACTTATATTACTTCTGAATATTCACCAGTACTGGGCACAGTTATAGATGTTCCTCAATAAATGCATGTAGGCTGGTTTTGAATGTCCAGTTGATCTGTGTAATTTGGGCCCTCTAGGGTACTTGACAAGCTCTCCATTTATTTGAAACCTTTACAATATTCCAGGCACTGTTCCAGTGCTGAGACTAGAGTGGTTATCAAGAGAGAATGCACAGCCCAGCCAGTGGGGCTCAGTGGCTGAGCGTCGACCCAGTTTAATTCCTGGTCAGGGCACATGCCCAGGTTGTGGGCCAGATCCCCAGTGAGGGGCATGCAGGAGGCAGCCAATCGATGTTCTCTCTCATCGATGTTTCTTTCTCTCTCTCCCTCTCCCTTCCTCTCTCTCTAAAATCAATAAAGAAAAAATTTTAAAAACAGAATACACAAAGAACAGAAATGGCTCTCCATTGCAGTTTCTGGAAGAACAAGAACAGTTCACAGGGAATTCTGGAATTCTTTCCAGGACAATGAAGACATATTTGGTTGAAGAAACAGGTGTCTGCTCCACGAAGATTTGAACACTGCTTCTACCTTTAATCAATCATTTTCCTCACTGCATAGAACCCCTTTTATTCATGCCATCTGAACACTCATTACTTCTGTCATCCCATGCTTCCGCATCCTGACTTCACTGAGTACAGCATTCGCTCTTTCGCATTTGCACAGAATTTCCTCAGAGACTGTGATGAGTTCAAGTTGGTTGAACTTCTCCAACTAGTTACTGTGCTCATTCTAAGACCCTCTTACAGACCGCTAGCAAGCCCACAATGGCCATTCTTGGGCCAGGCATCTCCTTTGATACAGCTGTGGTCAAGGCTGCAGGACAAGACATTGTCATGAGAGAATCACTCGGTAAGTTTTCCTTATGGCCTGAGAAATGGGCCCTGGCCGGTTTGGCTCAGCAGTTAGAGCGCCAGCCTGCGGTCCTGAGAGACCCGGGTTCGGTTCCCGCTAAGGGCATGTACCTTGGTTGCGGTTTGTCCCCGGCTCTGGTCGGTCGTGCGGGTGGCAGCCACTTGATGTGTCCCTTCGCATCGATGTTTCTCTCTCTCTCTCTGTTCCTCTCTCTCCCTCCCACTCTACCTGAACAAAAAATAGAAAAATGTCCTCGGGTGAGGATAAAAAAAAAAAAAGAAAGAAATGGGAGGCACTCTGCCAAAAGAAGACTGAATTGGAAGGTACCTCAGTTTACTTTTGTGAAATCTGTAAATATCCAGTATATAGAAAAGTGCTTAGGTCATGGTAAGCGCACAATATGAATGAGATTAGTTCATTAAACTACGTCTGGAAGCATACACAGATTTTCACCTTATTGCTACTTGTGACACTGTCTTGAGCCTAAATCGATTTTGTAGTCTTACTTAAAATGTTCCCACCTATATAAATTGAAAAAACAAAAGAAAACAACAAAAAAAACCGCAACTATTCTGATATACTTCTTTGGACTGAATTTATTTCATTATTTCCTCTCCTCTATAAAATTGGTCATTTGATTCTAAATTTACTTCTGATATTATATTCTATGCTTAGATGATTTTTCCCATAAGGAAAATTGTTATGACCTTATTGATTGCCCATGAAATAAAGCTCTTTCTAAAGTCCTTTACCCTTGCATGCCATGTTTCAGTCACCTCTATACATGTTCCAGTGATAAAGCCATGCCATTGTAAAAACCTAACTGGGAGATAAATATAATTTCAACCGTAGGCAGACATTTTACTGTACTTGCCTTGCATTTGGCTAAAGTGTGAATGTTGGAAAAAGTGCAATTGCACGTTATTTTTCAGTTCCGCGGAACGTCTCGACTCACTCTACACGGAGTACATTCTCATTAACTTCACAGTCCTTCTTAAGTGTCACACTGCCTGTTGCAGTCTTCCCTACCAGTTCCACTACGTTCTCGCCCTCTTCCAACCTCTGCTTGTTGACATTCTCAGGGAATGATCACAAAACCATCCGCCTCTCCAACACACAGCGTGACCCTTCCGTTGCTGCACTTCTGTCATTCTCTGAACGAACTGCATTTACAGGAGAACGGTATCATGGACTCAAGGACTCAGAGAGCTCCCCGTTTTCCTTCGGCACGTGTATCAGTGAAATAACGAGTACACAGACCTAACAGGTGTGTTCACACACACATTCTCTGAGCTTGCATCATTCAAGAACATTTTGCGAGTTATTATCAGTGAACTAGAGACAAATGATATTAAAGCACGGATGAGCATGAACTCTATACCTCCCAATTCGGGGGAAAGAATTCCAGTTGAAGGGCTTTAAACTGGAGGTACGAACACAGACATAGGCCTGGTTGGCCTTTTTGATCAGGGAGGAAGCATCAGATGTTCGCCAACACTTCCTACAACATTCCTAAAAATGTGGCAAAGTTCTGCTATTAATAGGACATAGATTAAACTGTCACTGTTATTGATTACATCTGATGAACACATATTTCTTGAAACCCTGAAGCAGAGATAAGTCCCTTGCTGCGAAAGGTAATCTAAAACATGAAAGAGGAGTAATAGGCACCATGACCCACTTGTCCTTTTCCTGTTTTTAGCACAATATAAAAAGTAATGACAAAGAGGTTGTTGTTCAAAACATCAGATTCTTAATAGTTGAGAAGATTAAGCTTTTGGAATGACAGAAACTTAGAGCATTTCATTAAATAGTACATAGGTTGCTGTTTTGATAGGGGTGTTCCTGGGTAATGGGCTTAAAATTTTTCTTTATTGATTTTAGAGAGAGAGGAAGGGAGAGGGTAAATAGAAACATCGATGAGAGAGAACATCAACTGGCCGCCTCCTGCATGCCCCCCCACTGAGGACCAGGCCCACAACCTGGGCATGTGCCCCAACCAGGAATCGAACTGGCTACCTCTTGGTGCATCGGTCGACGCTCAACCACCAAGCCACACCAGCCGGGCTGGGTAACGGGGTTTAAATTGTAAAGATGATAGTTGTGAGCACATAAATAATACACATATACATACACACAGTATCTTCATTTATACAAAGGTATGGTTGAAGCTACTGGTTTTAATCCTCTGTTTAGATGGCCAGACTTTCAACATTTACTCACCAAGACAGCGCCAATGCCTCAGCAAGTGTTCAGTTTGGCCAGTGGCCATGTCACGTTAGGGTGGGAGTCAGCTCCCGACTCATTTTAGATTCCGCACATTTTCTCCTGTTTGGCACCTGTGCTCCCGTCTGTTCCACTCCGAGTTCTGAGGCTTCCCCGTGAGTGATGGATGGTCCTTTCATTTATGTCTGCCTAGGATAAGACAGGAGTCCTTCATTTCAAAACGTGCTTCAATGGGTTTCTGCTTAACTGACATTTACCTTTTTAAATATAGGTGCCCTTCCGATTAGACCGAAATAGTATTCGGACTTACCACACCTGAGAACCCACAGAAGCCATGATGACGTTTTATGTACTCATTAGAAGTCCCAAATCATTAGCTGAACTGTGGTATCAGTAGTTATGATCTTGAACGTCTGTTTAAGTTCTCTGAGGTCCTGTTTCTCGGTGTGTATATTGGGGATCAAAATACTAGGTCCCACAGAGATGTTTATTAGAAAAGGTTGAGAGGAGACAAATGCTATGTAAATATATAGTGAAATCATCTTCATTTTTCAGTGAATCTCAAGAAATGCTGTGAATTCTGAACATGGTTTGGTTTGTGTTAACATTCATTATATTAATTTCTTTTCCCTGAATCAACAGAAAGCTACCTAAAAGAACAGGCTATTGGGCAGTTTGGGGGCTAAATGGGCCAGGTCTTCTCAGCCTCCCAAGGACTTGCCTCTGCTGTGAGACCCAATAAAAAGCATGCACAGGTCATCAAGAATATAGACAAGGCTTTATGTTATATTTATTTATTTTCCAGCTTATACAAACTGGATGTAGAAGCATAAACATAGTACATTTCTACCATCTTCAACAAAAATATAACCAATATGTACAATTATTGTATTAAAAATACAAAAGGGATACAGACTCCACCAATGTCTTTCTAAAAGACATACAGGTACAAGTAGTATCAAAAGTATGAGGAAATCACCAGTTAAGTGTACATTCTGCACGTGACGTCACAGAGCGAACTGAGATTAGCAGTCCTATGTTCTACGATTACTTAATGCTTAGATAACATCTGTGCAACTTGTGGTCGAGCTAGATTTCTTTCTATATGCACATGAGGTCCATAGCCTACAGAATAAAACTGGCAAATAATGCGTATTACATGTAAAATTACAAATGCTTAATTGACAATGTAATATATAAGCAAGTAGACAAATGCCATGATACAGAAGAGAATTATTAAATAAAGCACTGACATTGTTTGATACAGTGAAAAAACACTGCATTTCGACTTTTTTTTTTTTTAATTTGAAGCTATTTACGTTTATCTACTGATCAATATGATCAGCTGAATTTAATGAAAAAAAAAAAAAAACAACATCCAAGACCAGCAGTTCCTCACATCTGAGTACTACTCGGATTGGCAGCCTTCACTTTTCCGGAGTCTGTGCAAAAACAACACAAAAATAGAGTGGAGGGTCATTTCAGTCATTATAGGGTTAATAGCAGCTGTGAGCAGGTGGTTGCTACACTTAGGCCTTCTCTATCCATCATGTCCATTAAGCCACGCCCAGGTTAGTCTCTGGGGACTAACCCACCTGGCGAAGGCTGGTCTATCTCACCAGGTGTGGGATCTTTTGATCTGTGATCGCGGTCCAGGCTTGTTTAGTCCCTAATGCCAATTCAGTAAAGGGAGGCTGTCTTGAAAGAGCAGTATTAACAGCTGGCATTCGCTCCAACATCCCGAGCTGCTTTCACTGCGATGCTATCCAGTTATAAAAGTTTCTCTTGAAAAAAAACAAAACAAAACAAAAATCCCTAGAACTAAATCAATAAAAATCAAAGAAACATAACTTAAAAAAAAAAGGGGGGGGGGTTTGCCATCCATCTCGATGGAGCAGGACACACCCTCAAATGACACTGTCCTGCACTCCATAAGGCTCAGACACAGGACACAAGAGTCCTATTTCCCTCCCCTGGCCATGTGCAAACAGTTTTACAGAAGAACCCCACCCACTGGGGAAGGCGTGGATGGGTGTCCTGGTATCTAAGTAATTGGCTAACAGTTTATACTTCTCCAGGATAGGGCACTTCACGAGCGGGGCCTGAAGGACACGGGAAGACCGGGTCACAAGCCAGGTCTTCCCTTCTTCTTGGTGTGACCACACTCGGTCCGGCATATTTGGTTTTTTAGAAACCCAGGCTGGCAACCCTACTTAAAGGTTCAAAATAATACTGTAATTATTAAATGGATATAACATTTACTCTCTGAACACAATCTTTAAAATCATTAAAAAAAAAAAAAAAAAAGAGAGGAGGACATTGTAAACAAGTGGACAAGCACTGTACTCAAAGGATTTCACTGTTTTTCTTTGTCTTCCTTGGTGGGTTAAAGGCCCCGAGAAGTTCAATGGCTAGCTTTTCTCATTATCCCAATGAGATCAAGTGCTAGGACTGGATTGAAATCTAAAAGGAAGATTTTTAAAAATCCTTCCAGGCATTGAGAAGTGCAGCCAGGGTCAATCATCTTGTCGTGATGATCTTGGAATTTGGAATGATACTGTGTGATGTGGCAGGCAGCAACAGTGGGGACTCGGAGATGCTGCACTGTGCATTTCAAGCAACAAAGTCTGAAAAGTGCCAGGGCAATTTCTTCACAGTATTTCACATGCAAAGGGGAAAGGAAGAAGGGGAGAAGAAGCCCCATGCTGCTTTTAAGGCAGGGAAGGAGGCAAACTGGTCCACCATCCTCAGACTGTGAGTTCCCAGGCCCCGATGCGAGGGACGTCTTCTTGTGCTCTCCACGCAGGTGGCTCACTCTGGATCCAGAAAACCCTGTGCCTCAAACAGCAGATACTTGTTCATCTTCTGCGAACACAACCAGGAAAAAAAGAAAAAGCGATGAGCAAGTCATTCATTGTTATGCTGAGAGAGGATATGTCCACTGAGGTGCTAAATTAAAATACCACAGCTATTTCTTTTAGTATACCTCACTTAAAATCTTTGCTTTTTCTCTAGGTGATTATTATTAATAATAAAAACTTTAAGATAAAGTACATATGATGCATTTGTTTAAATATATACACAATATAAATTATACATTTTCTATTTATTGATTGGAAAGTTCATAATGAGTTATAAAACAGCACGTGACTTTTTAATATACACTCACATACAGATAAAAAATGTCGAAAAAGATATGTAACAAAATGTTAATAGTAGTTATCTGCAAGTGACAGGATTCTAAGTAATTTTCATTTAGCGTGTGTTGCTTTTTTTTGTAATGCTTATTTGCACACTAAAACATGTTAAAATCAAAACTTAAAAAAAAGAAAGATGCTTGGGGTCATGATCTCCCTCCCCCTCCTCTGCATTACAGCTTGAGGTAGAATTGTAGAAGGAAGGCAAAAAAAATTATAGAGAAGTGTATTTCTCAGACTTTCATTTGGAACTCATTAAAAGTGCAAATACCATCTTTCCACAGAACACACTAGGAAACAGGAGAGAGATCTAGCCATGTACACATTTTGTGACAAGTGACCACTTCTGCAATCTTTGGTATTTCGTGTGCCCTTCAACACACACACACACACACACACACACACCAGTCAAAAGCCCTAACCCTGCCCTGGCCGGTTTGGCTCAGCGGTTAGAGCGTTGGCCTGCGGTCCAGAGAAAAGCCCTAACCCTGAATTTGGAACTCTAACTATAAAATATGCAGAATGTGGCTAAAGACACAGCGAGTGATCACCGTGCTAAGAAACAGAAAGGCCTTGGCAAGCTATAGGCAGCATAAGCGAACACATGTAACTTTACGGTTTTAAGAATGAGTATGTACCGTCCTCCTCGGTGGAAAACCCTTGAGACTGATAGGGAGTGAGGCGCGGGTCGCCCTCGTTGGGCTTATGCCACTGGGGCTTGCTCACGGGCCTGCCGCCTGCGGGGTGCGCGTGCGGCTGCGGCTGCGGCGCGGCGGGGGGCCCGGCAGAGTCCGGGGGGCGGGCGATCATCCGCGATCTCTGCAGCGCCACGTTGTAGTCCGGAGGTTTCCTGGTTGGATGCGAATGCCCTTCGGGGAAGTCCGTGATGGGGATTCCGATGTAGCCGGGAGGGGTGGGCGGGGGCTCCCGATACCTGCCCTCCTTTCGTGCTAGAGTGAAGGCAAAGCACCAGCCGTCAAAAGATGTGGAGGAAGAACTTTTCATGCCCGCAATGTCCATGAAAACCTATAAAATGATCACTAAGACAGCACCCACAGAGCCCTGGCCGGTTGCTCGGTGGTTAGAGGGCCCGCCCACGGACCAGAGAGACCCGGGTGGATTCTGCTAAGGGCATGTACCTCTGTTGCGGTTTGTCCCCGCCCCGCCCTGCCGGGATTGTGTGGGTGGCAGCCACTCATGTGTCTCTCTCACATCAGTGTTTCTCTTCCTCCTGCTCCATCTCAAGATAAATGCAAAAATGTCCTCAGATGAAGATTTAAAAAAAAGACAGCACACACAGTATAATAGCAAATGAGATTTTGTGTGATATGAGAGAGAGGTGGGGGGGTATGGTAGGCAGTGGAATGCATGCAAACTAAACCAATTATTCACAGTGGTTATCTGTGGAGTCAAATAATTGGTGAGAGAGGCTACTAAGCGGTCAGAGTACCTTTAACTCCAAATGAACTACTTTAAAACTTGTCTTAACTAGAAATTGATAGTAAGGTTAACACCTTTAAGCAAAGAGAGAACATAAAAGGTACCCAGTACTATGCCTGCACACATTGGTAGTGCCTGGTAACAGTCCCTTCCTGCCCCCCTGCCCTGGGAACACGGCGGGCGACCCCTCCTGATTTCCCCTGATCAGGCAGAGAATCAATTCCACATTACTTCAGGTCTTGGGCCCACTTTGGAAAACAGTAAATTAGAATAGTTTTCTAAATACAGTCCCATCAAGTCTATTTTCATCGTCTGTTAGGTCAGTAGGGGCAGCCAGGAGCTATGGACACTTGGAAGCATCTCTCAAAGCAACTGACAGCTACACCATCTACCTGTTGAACTGGGGCCACCGCTCTCAACAACTGTCACCTCAGCCTCTTCGACCTAGAAATACTAATGATCAATTAAAAAAAAAGTTCTTTGCTAAAAAAAAAAAAAAAAAACCCAAATGACACAAATTAAAAAACTCTAAAACTATGTGTAAGTCATGTACTTCTCAAAATCCTGTTATTAATGCTCATGAGCTAGAATATGAAATCTGTAAAGGCGAGAAAAATCCAAGTTGTATTTCTTGGACTTTCTAGACTTAACCGTTAGGAACTAAGAACATTGTTCTTCTTTCCTTTGCATTAAAAAGTCTGAGTATTAGTTTGTTATTCATCTGGAAAGGATATTAAATTTGACATCCACCCATGACTATTTACATGGTAAATAACTACAATTTCCCTCCTAATATAAGTGATGTCTATAATGGTTACTCTCTGAAATTTCTCAGTCTGTATTCTACAGTGTGTTTCTGCACTTCAATTGTACACACACTGAAAACGCCATAGGAAATGCACCCTGACAAGACTGAGGGGACACAACAGAAACAGCGGCAAAGAAATGGCACCTTTCATGCACTTATCAATTGCTAAATGGCAGCTGTTCTAAATGCTTCACACAGAATTCCTTTAATCAATCCTCACGGCAACTATATTAGTAGAAAGTACTAAACTCATTTTACAGATGAGAAAACAGACATGGTTCAGTGTGTTGCCCAATGCGACAAAGCTAGAAAGGAATGTAACAGTGATTCCAACCCCAATCTGCCTGACTCCTGAGCTCTTACTCATTACAGTATCTCTTAGCACCCTCTCCCTTGTTCCACGGTGCAGAGAGAATCTGTTGTGCACAGAAACAATCTGTCTGCATAACAAAATCATAGAAGATTTAAAAATAAGCAGTGTATAAAGTTCTTAGTACAATTCAAGGGGACAAAACAGAATAATAAAATATTTAAAAGCTTCTATTAAACAAAAATTCTTCCTCCACAGAGAATGACCATCCTTCCTGATATATTTCAGCTAAAAAAAAAAAAATCACTATGAGACCAGAAAATAACCATAATGACAACCTACTGATTCTGATAGCCAAGAAGTATTGAACACTATGTACACTATGCTAGAAAATATTGATATGTACCTGACCACACGACCTGGGCTCTTAGCCACTATTCATTTAAAGCTCTATAGAGCAATGGGGAAAATGAGGGAACGAACCACAAACACATGATTTTGCTTTTGAAACGAGTTAGATGAAAGCCGTAATCCAGACATGAGACGCTCCCCAGCAAGCTTACCAATAAGTCCCTTTGCCGTCGTGGGTGTCACAGCTATGTGGGCAGGCATGGGGACGGGCTTGGTTTCCTCTGTGGCCACAGATGGCAGGCTGCTGCTCTCAGCCTCAATGGACACATCTTTGCCACCTCTCCGCTTTATTGTGCCTGTGTCACCTTCTGAGTCTTCTCCCCAGTAGCCCGTGGAAGAGGCCCAGCTTGCCCGAGACTGGGCTTGTTCAAGATTCTCTCTGCTTTGATTTTGCCGGTTATACTTTGTGCTATGATCAGAAAACATAATTTGGTCCATATGGCTGCTTGAGGCCCATGCACTTGCAGGGTCCCCTGAATAATCAAAGTGAGTGTGCCCAAATGGAAGTGTTTCCCAGCTTCTCTGGTGCTGGATGGTCTGGATATTGTCATGGGAACCACTTGAGCACGAGGTCCAGCTCCCACGGCCACTGTCGGCAGCATCGAGGGACGCGCGGTCCCCCTGGTCTTGGGAAAGCTCCTCTGTGCTTGGAGAAGAAATTACTGTCGCTGTAGCGTATAAGCCCCGGTTCTCAGGCATTGGTGCGTAGGACCTAAGTGGTCAAAAGAAACGAAAAAGAAAAAGCAAGGTTGTTAACTAATATACCTATGATAAAGCCAAAATACTTTTTTTTACCTAGAAAGGTGGCTTTCCTTCATCCCAGGGACAGGATGAAAGCACCACTGAGGGGCATTATAGGGGCCAGTTTTGCTACGCCCAGTTTTCTCGCCTTGTTATCACCATAAAATAAATACAGCGGCAAAAGCACAATGACTTGCTTATAATAAAGGAACATATTCCTTACAAGGCCCGATATAATCTGGCTGTTTTAAGAAGACAGCTCATGCAAAAGAACCGAAATACACCCTAAAGTCACCCTCTGCCTTCAGCACCGAACAACGATGCTCCAATAGGAATAAACCTGACTCTAAAAGCACAACAAAAATAGCACAGCACTTAATAATCCAGAGACTGTGAACATTCGGAACTGGGATGGGAGAAAAGTTTAGACATTATGTAAAGTAAATGGAAATACACATCTAGAAAACGGGACTCATTTTTAAAAGAAGAAAGAAAGGATGTGAAAGAACACTAAAGGAAAGGCGTCTACCCTAAGCTGTATTGATCGGGCTCAATCACGGTCCTCCTCTCCATCCTGCCCACGCCTAGGTTTGTTTCCACGATGCTGACAGAATGCCTCTGGCGCCTCTCATCATGCAGCGAGACTGGCACCGAGTCAAAGGAAGAATTGCTGACAATACTGGATCGTGAAGAAATTTCACTGTGACCAGAATCTGAAAAATTATCCACAGTACCACTGGGAGCCAAAGTATAGCCTGCATGGGAAATACAACCACATTAATTAGACGCTGTAGTTTATTACAGAAAACTGAAGTCTCCTAAATAGAAGCAAAAACCAAATGTAGGCCAAAGCTATCACCACTGAAGTGGGAAAAAATGCACTTTACTTGTGGAGAGCAGGTGACTGAGGTAAAGGCAATTTACACTCGAATGAAGCTTAACTTGTTTAATGAAAGTTTAGAGAGGGAAAAAGTAAACACTGCTATGTGAGTCAGGAAATAATGCAGAAATCATGGTGCTACTCAACTCTTCTTAGCTCCCTTAAATACAAATTAGACTACTGTTAGTCTATATAAAAGAAACTACGAAGAATAACTATGACTAGATTTTAAAATATATTTTTTGCAAACTGCAAAGTCAATCATCTTGTTTCCAATTTTTAGAACTTTACGGCATAGAATAATTCAACTGGAAATATCTATAATTTTAAGTGGACAAGTAAGAATAGGAAATAAAACCTGAAAAAAGTATCTTTGGATTTCTGTCATTTGGTTTTGTAACATTATTATACAGACCTGCCCTGTTTGGCTCAGTGGTTAGAGTGTCAGTTTGCAAACCAGAGTCTTGGGTTCAATTCCCGGTCAAGGGCATATACCTCGGTTGCAGGTTTGATCCCCAGCTCTGGTCGGGATTATGCAGGAGGCAGCCAGTCGATGTGCCTCTCTCACATCGATGTTTCTCTCTCTCTCTCTCCCTCCCTCACTCAATGGAAAAATATCCTCAGGTGAGGATTTGGGGGGGGGGGGGGGCGGAATATAAAATCGTCATTTTCTCCCTAGACCATCACTTTAAAATGTCTAAACATGTGTCCGTTTTTTGACCTGAAGAAACCTTAACTTTCATTTGTCACTAAAAATAATTTTGAATGTCACAAAAAAGGAGGCCTATCTTGATAATTTTTAATGGGGGGAAAAAAATCCCCAAATCTTCTTTCTCAGTACCTTTTTTTTTTTTTACATTACTAAGGCTCTCATATTAAATTATTGATTTTACATGATTATATGTACACAGTGCAATTTTTCAGTGCCACTTACCTAATAAAAAGTTAAATCTAGAGTGCCTAAATGTTGCTTATTCTCTAAATAGTATTTCCCCACCCTTTTAGTAACTTAATTCCTGATTTATTTTTTAAAGGTTGCACAGGTCTTGATAAGATTCAATGTGTTCATCTATGAAATGTCTCTTTATAAACCACATGACAAGTTCTGACAGACAAGATTTAAAACTTCTGAACAGTCTGCTCAAAAAACCATCCCTAGAAAATAATCATTCAGAGCACTTGACATTTAGAGGAATCCTCCCATTGTCCTTAACTACTGATTTGATTCCTTTCTCTTCCACCCCATTTTCGGTTCTGTAAACCCCACCTATCCCATAGGTCCGTGGCGCATTGTTATTCTTGTTACTGTTCTCACTTCCAAGAGAAGAGGAGGAACTGGTTAAGTCCAACTGCCCGGAGCCAAAAGATCTCAGCTGATTGCCACTGCCACCTAACAACGGGATGAGAAAAGAATTCAGATATACCCCTTTAACAAGAACAGGAGAGGCTGATGCCCACACAAAATGCACAGATGTCTGAAAATATCTAAAAAGTAAAGCAGAAGAGGTATTTGTCGGTTCAGCGAAATCTCACAATTTATTAATCTTTTTTGGCTTCCTTCAAGAGAAAACTGTCTTAGGCATTTATTATTAATTTACAGACATTCAATTAAAGGGTAGAAGAAGGAAGTCACCTGGAGGGTTATGTGGCAGATCTATTATTCTAACATGAGAGAGCATCAACATAACGAGGAGAGTTTGATTGCCTAAAATTTAATCTTTTTAAAAATAAAAATAAGTATAACAAAGAAGGTAATCAAGACCTGTGTTAATACAATAAAAAAATAAATCAGGAAGGTATTAGTTTTTCTCATGTTTTTAAAGCTCTCTGCTCTGTAATTAATGTTATATAATCATATTTAGTTAGAATAGCTTTTAGTATAAGAATTATTTCCACACTTACAATAATAAAAATTTAAATATATTATTCAAAGGCCTTACATAGTTATGTTTAATACTATGTACTATAAAATTACAAATACCAAAATTTTTCCAAATTTATAAACTGAGAAGAAAAAAATCCACTGGTTGTTATATATTAGATCACTTTAAACAACTCTATAATATAAAACATGATCTGATATATAACTGGAATTTATTATAGCTAAGACGTTCAAGATCACTATAAGGGGAAATAATAAGTAATTCAATCTACCTTTCCTCGGAGAACTTTGTGGAGAAGTGGGCGGAGAAGAAAGCTGTGAAGATGCATTTGATATCGTATCTTCTGCTTGTTTCTTGTGACGCTCCAGACTTCCTTCTTCAGACAAAGAAAGAATTTTCTTTAAAGCTTGTGGGGAGTTTATGCCTTTAAGAGAAAGAAAATAAGTATGTATTTTCAAGACTGAGAGGAAATAATATTAATAACTAAAAAAAACTTTTTTGAATTAAGATTTACTATTACACTTAGATTCAAGCTTTTTATAATTTTAATGGTCTTGGAAATACAGACAGTAAACTAGAAGGCACAGAGACTTCTAGTTTGGTTTTGACTGGTGGTATCTGCCACAGTCTAGAAATGGACTTTTTTTTGATATTTTACTTTAGGTTCTAATCTTAATGTAATCACCATCTTGATTCAACATAATGTTAGACAACAAAAAATAAATAAATGAATATTTATTACTAAGCAGTCAGGTTTGAGTTGGAAACAGCTATTTTTTTGTTGTTGTTAGGGGAAACAGAATGATGGGAGAAAGTCAAGAGCCAAGAGCTAAAAGAAAGTAGTAAGAAAAGCAAATAAAAGAGCTCTAAGGAATTCCATGCATTAAAATTGGCTCAAAAAAAACAGATGACAGAGAAGGGAGAAGGAGACCTATGAAAGTGCTGAGTCATAGAAACCACAGAAGAAGGTTCATGGAGGTCAGAAGGGAGTGATCCAGGGCCAACTGTAGGAGCAAGTCGGGTGAGGGTAGGGGAAAAAAAAGGATTATATATGCCATTATAAGGTGATTTTTTTCAAAAAAAAATTTTATTTTTAGAAATGAAGGAGTTACATTTAAATGTTTTACAAAGTAAACATTATGAGGCACTCTCGATTACTTTATTTCGAACAACAAAAAGATATTGGGGAAGGTATCAGAGACTGAGACTCTCAGTAAAATGCTAGTTTTAATGTTCTTAATAGAATCCATTAAAAAGGAAACAATGAAATTTAACAAAGATTTAATCCTTCATTTCACCTCATGTGTTTGATGCTATTTTAATACAATCTGTGTAAAAAAAAAAAAAATCACCTGTAAAGCAATATTTTAACTATGTGTATAGATGCTACACAGGATGCATGAAAATACTAGCTACACTAAAGCCATAAAATGAATAGCTCTGATTTTGAGACAATGTCCAAGGCCAGCATCATACACAGATTCAAAGAGAGTTGTCTTTTCACACACTGTAGATACATGTGAAGAGGCTATGCTTTAGAAAACGGTGTTCTACTTCAGAAGTGGTTATAATGGTGACAAAAACACTATTTGAAAAAAGTATTTGGAACAAAATATTTCATGAGTTAAGAGTGGGGGTGGCTCAGCCTAAACTAATATTTATTAGTTAAACTAATATTTTATTATTATGTGACTAAATATTTATGCAAAACTAATTACCATAAGGAACACATGGCTATTTCATCCTCATGTCTAAAGTTCATAAATTCATATAGGCCTAAAAACGTTTTGAAAGATACTCTCTGGGAAAGGGGGGGGCGAATTTATATGCAGGCACACCTACATTCAGGCTAACAGGCTACATTTAAGTAAGAGGAAGAGTGGTAACTGCTATATACGCACAGTGTAAAAAAGGAAACAGAAATCAGATGCAGGGGATTTAGGAATATATGCATAGTGATAAGAGAGTGGACAAAGAAACATGAAACACGGCTTGTTTGTGATGGGGGCAGCAGTCCAAATATTTATTCGAAAGGGGACACGTCAAGTAAAGGTATTCTTTTCTCAGTCTTCCCTAAACTCGAAGAATAGGACACTTGCTGTCAGGAGGAATGAGCCAAAGGATTTACTATCAGACTCTTGCCCAATTCATATAGACAGGATGTAATTGGGCAGGAACTATCCTACTTACCAAAACCCTATTTTATCTAAGTAAACTCTTTGCTACCAGTTAAAAAGTGTTTTCCTTTAGTTAACATTGTTCCTTTTCATACACACATAAAGGAATCAGTACATTTAATGGAAAATAATTTGGGCCATTTGGAGGTATTTTTGAGCTTGCTGAGTAGACACCATGAGCAAAGCTCACACTCCGGAGTTAAAAAAAAAATGTATGGGCAAAACTAGTTTAAATAATGTATATAGACAAAGCTGTACTCATTAAAAACTAAATTAGTAAAAGCATAATTTCCCCATACTATCCCCCATGAAGACAAAAGAGCACCATTATAAATGAAATACTCTATAAAATCACTACCTTCCGCCCTGGCCAGTTTGGCTCAGCGGTTAGAGCGTCGGCCTGCGGTCCGGAGAGACCCGGGTTCGGTTCCCGCTAAGGGCGCGTACCTCGGTTGCAGTTTGTCCCCGGCCCTGGTTGGTCGTGCAGGTGGCAGCCACTCGATGTGTCCCTTCACATCGATGTTTCTCTCTCTCTCTCCCTTCCTCTCTATCTGTACAAAAAATGGAAAAATATCCTCGGGTGAGGATAAAAAAAAAAAATCACTACCTTCCACTGACAAAAGTAAAGTTTAACTTACTCAGCATTAATGCTCTATTAAGAGGTAATCATCAGCGGGGAGTATTAGACAAAGAATATTAGGCAAAGCTAGCCAAGACGAGCATCTCCCCCTAACCCGAAGAACAGGACAGTGACTAGCACCGCAAGAGGACGTGAATTTCATCACCTACCGAAGGGTGGGAGGTCCTTCACGGGCACTTTCTTTCGAGAAGGATAAAGGGACACAGCAGGAACCTGAAGTCCTTGGTTGACTTTGTGTGGCTGCTGAGGCTGCTGGGGCTGCGGCTGGGGTTGTGCTTTCTGTTGTGACCCTGCCCTCGGAGCCACTGGGGAGGTCTCGGTTTTGACAGGCTTTTTGTCACCAGGATTCTTAGGCACTGATCATTGTTTAGTTAGAAAATAAAATAAGAAATTTAAGATGTTAGTAGCTACATCCAAGACGATTTTCGAGCTGCACGAGCATTTTCTGCAGGTAGAATACTAAAACCTGTCTCTTGTTTTCCTGCTGCCTACACAAGGAACAGAAACGGGGGCGAGGGGAGAACCCTAGTTACGGAAAATATTAAAGGCACGACAGGGCGAAGATGTTTGCCTTATGAAACTAGCTAGCTCAAAAGATGATTAAAGACCACATTAAAAATAAAACAGAAAAATGGGGATAATTCAAACCGTCGTGTGTGTGCATATAAAATAACACAAGTATATCATAAAAACTACTACAGGAAAATTGTTAGGATTATTTTTCTAAAACAGTGTCCAAAAGGCCTTGGAATATATGAGCTTTGTTTTTACTTAATAAATGGTATTAACTGTAATCTCTTTACTATCAATTTCTCTCTTCTATGGGGCAGAATTATGTTAGCTAATAGCAGCCAATACTGCTTTGAGTACTATACTGAGTATATAATTCCACGGCAGATATAAAGCAAACCAATTTAATAGGGCAATTAAATGCTGCATGTATCATATATTAATATTAAAAGCAACTCAATGACATGTATACTCCCTTCAATTTACACATAAAGAAGCTAAGGATTAGGGAGCTCAAGTAACTTGCCTATGATAACCTTGCTGGGATGAGGAACAGGGATGTGAACTCAGACCAACCTGACCTCCGAGGACAAGCTCCTCCATCATGACACACAGAGCTTCTAGTGTCCAGGGTAAATCTAATAACTTTAATTTTCTCAAGTCACCTACGTAACCTTTGTATTCTACAGAAGGTATCCTCAAACCTGCCCATGAAAGACCCAGCCATGTCCTAAATGAAAAATGCCTCTGTCGTACAGATACAGACACAAATAAAGAGAAAACTGTGCACCCCCCCACCCCACCCCTGCTGGCTACAGTCAGATTCTGTAGCCACTTTAAGGAAACACTCACATGTGTTGGTCGCTGGCTCACACTGCAGGGATAATGTCTGAAGACTCTCCTCGTCCATTTCCAGCTCCAAATTGGATAGGTACTGCTTCACTTTTCGAGCCATTTGGGCGTCTTCGTAAAGCTTTTTGGCATTGAGAAAGGAACTACGGCGTACCCGCTTTTTATGACCACCTGTCTGAGCAACGTCTAGCACGGTTGCGTTTGTACTACCCTGGCTGAGGGACCTGGAAGACGAAAAGGCAGATATGCAGCGCACTCTAGCACAGGGTTACTTTATCTCCGAAACGTGCGTGACTCAGATACATACTCTATGTGCTAAAGGTACATGCTGCATTCTGATAAGTGAACTGTTACAAAAGAATATGAATTAAAAAATGGTTTAAGCTAACAAAGGATCCTGCTTACATACATACATGTGTTTGGGGCCTGTTCTGTTCCAACTAGGACATTCTACTTTTCACATCTACAGAGCGTTCCAGGCAGCCCTCTCTCAGAGAAGCCAGCAAATAATAATATAATTACATATAAAAGCTCATGCAAGAATACAGTATAATCAGGATTTACATTAAATGTACGTCTCCTAAAGAAGATGTTTAACATAGATTTTTAAAAAACAGCTACATGTTTATAGTTGTTTTCTTATTCATTGGGTTAAATGTAGTGAGTTTCTAAAGTAATATGGTCAAACTGTTAATAAGATGATCATGCAAATGTAAACATATATGTATAGAAACTAGCACATGAATTGTTAAGAATTATTTTTCAAAAGAATTGGTTTATAGAATGAAAACAGTAGTTAGTTGAGCTGTAAAAAATTTAGTTTTAACACCTAGGGGCAGCTTTTATAGTATATAGATTTACTTCTAAAATATCTGTGCAATGGAATTTAAATTGCACTTTTCCTTCTCACATTCTTACCCCCTCACCCTACTGTAGGCTTTTCCCATTTCAAAACACAGAAATTATATTAAAATAAAATCTCTCTGAAAGCTCAGAAGTATGTCTGACCTACAGTTCCCCAGAACAATCACCCATCATTTCACAGCTCTCATGGATCATGACCTCAAAAGCAAAAGCCCCAACAGATTAAACTGGATATCAGTTTGCCAACTGAAATGCTGCTAGAGCAAGAGGGTTAAGAAAAAAACGCAAAAATGCAAAGCATCAGAAAATACAGCAGGTAAGGAAACAATGCAATGAGCAGAATAAGAACTGAGTGTGGGTGTGCAAGTCTCCACCACTTACCCCAGACTCCTCCATTTCTTCTTCCTGTAAGTGAGAGCCATGGAGATTGAAGCATGGGTGTAGAAAGAGAGACAGAGAGATCACAAGCTCAGAAAGAAAGGACCAGACTTCTGAATAAGCAGTACAAGGAGCCCACAAACATTAAACTGCATAATCACCTCACACACACAACTTGACCAGAAATACTTATGTGGCTCAAAAGATAAATGTATTTAATTAATTTATTTTTTTTAAAGGAGGTGGACTACTGCTCTCTCCTTCATTGGACTAATCATTTTTGACTACGCTGCCAGCTAAATCTGTTGTATACATATTGAAACAGTACTATTTGGGGCTGTTTACATATTTCATTTCATTCTACCAATTCTGAGTTTTAACTCTACAAGTGATTGCTCTGAAGAATAAGGAACAAATAATTGTGGCTCATGTTAAATAAAAAATGTCTGAAGGACAAACTGTTTATACTGGCAGTCAAAAGTGCTCGATACAGAATAAGACATTTATTCCACATTAGAGCTCAATGGAGATTCTCTGCATGAACTAACAGAATTTCTGCCAGGCTACAAATATAAATATCCACATTTTCCTCATTTCTTAGGATGCTCTAAACTCAACCTTCTCTAATCCCACACATGCCACTGAGGTGACACACTCACCGAGTCCTGAACATGAGGGCAGGGTCCATGTTAACCGAAGCCATTCGGCCAACATGACGAATTTCTTTTGCAATCATCCTTAGCTTCTCAAAATTGACCAGCCCATCGACTTTTGAGTCATTTCCTATCATTGGAAAAGAAGAAAAAGAGAATCACATGGCATTTCTTCTTTTTTTAAAAAATTGAATTGTATTATTTTATTTTTCAATTATAGTTGACATTCAATATTATCATTTATTTGCCTTTTTTTAAAGTGTTGGAAGTATTACAGATGTCCCCCTTTATTCCCCATGGACCTTCTGCTTTCTGCTCCCACCCCTGCCTGCCTTCCCCAGCCTAGCGTCCATGTCGATTGACTACACATATATGCATATAAGTTCTTTGACATTCAATATCATTTTATGTTAGTTTCAGGTGCACAGCATAGTGGTTAGACAATTATAAATTTAGTGCCCACCCGGCACCATACATCATTATTACAATTTTACTGACTATCCTCCCTATTCTGTACTTTACATCCCTATGACTCTTTTTAACTACTAGTTTGTATATCTTACTCCCTGGCATTTATTCTATGCTTCCACAAGTGAAGGAAGAAATTTTCTACTTCATATTTACCTTCATGAAGGAACGTGAGATCCTTCTTGATAACAGGGAATAGAGGGATTATGGGAGGTTGGAGGTTTTGACTATTGAGGACATTGCGATATTTTGCCATGTTTCTGGAAGGATCAAAGAGGTCTTGGAGGTCTTGAAATAGCTTTTCATATTTATTGGGAAGTTTTTCCCAGGTAGTTCGCAGTCTTGCTACTGGTGCCAGGTTTAGGCCACTGGAAAAAAGGAAAAGTGGTATAAAGTTAAATGACTCATTCTTATGAAATGAAGGAAGTAAAACAGTGCATTGTTGATTTATTAATACATAGCGCCTCTGTGTGTATGCTATTCATACATAACAATTTACAGAAAGACTCATAAGAAACTAGTCATGACTATAGCTAATGAGAATGGAGAACGGAAGCACGGTGAGTATCAAGGGGTTTGTTTTCCTCTTCTTCCTTACATGCTCTCCTGATTCATTTACTGGGAGCGGAGCAAAACCACTAAAATGAAAGTCTCTTGAGGGTAGAATTTTGTTTCCTTGCTTTGTCTCCATACATAGAGCAGTCCTTGGCGCATGACAAACTGGCCAAATATCTTACAGTAATAAAATATAACAAAAGCCATAAGTCATGAGAATATGATCAAACTCCTAGACAGGAAAAAAAATGACTAATTTAATAATGACCATCAACAGCAATATAGCTAATTGTTTCAGCGTGCAGTTTCTTCCAGCCTCAATCTAGGACTCAAAGGGGAAAAAGCTCACATTTACGGGGCATCTTCATTGTGCGGGCTGACGGAACGCCCCATTGCAGCAGCCTCCCCCACCCACGGCTTCGCTTTCCATGGTTTCAGTTACCTGCATTTAACTCCAGTCCAAAAACACTCAATAAAAAATCCCAGAAATAAACAATTCATAAGTTTTAAACTGTGCACTGTTCTGAGCAGCATAATAAAATTTCATGTCTTCCTGCTCGATTTGGAGCGTGAATCACCCCTTTGTCCAGTGCGCCATGCTGCAGAATTAAGTGCATGTGCTAGGTAACCCTTATTTTACTTATTCATTTCCTCAAAGCCATTCATATAACCTTTATTAGAGGATATTGTTATAATTATTCTATTTTATTATTAGTTATTGTTAATGTCTTACTGTGCCTAACATATAAATTGAGACTTTGTTATCGGTATGTATATACAGGAAAAAACGGTGTATGTAGGGTTTGGTACCATCCATGGTTCCAGGCATCTACTGGGGGTCTTGGAACGTATGCCCAGTGGACAACAGGGACTACTGTATATCATTTAATCTGTTCCATAATTCTTTGGCAAATTGTTATTTTACAGAGAAATAAACTGATGTTCAGAGACGTTCAAATAATTTTCCAAAGGTTACAGAGCAAAAATTTTAAAAAAAGTGGTGAATACAGATTTTCTGGGTTCCACATCAGCATATGAGATTTTAAATTAAAGATCAGGATTCAGAGGAAAAGAATCAATCGTTCAGTACGATTCAATGAAAACTACCACAATTATACAAATTATATGGTGTTTCCAGATTGATACATATTTTCAACCTGCAAACTGCATGGAACCTTAAGACAAATATGCTCTCTTACCTGATGATTGCAAACATCGAGTTAAAATTCTTGCATTCCCTACAGTGTAGCGCTATCTTGATGAAATGCTTAATGATCTTCATCCTCTTCAGCTGGTTGGTCTCTCTCAGAATTTCAGATGCTACCCAAAATGTTTCCTGGTTAATGACTTCTTCAAATTTTTTCAGGTTGGCACAGCTGGTTTTTGATTTCAGTTTAAATAAATCATCTATGTATTCAGTAGGTTCAATGTTGCGGAAGAGTTCAAAATTCCGCATGGAGAGCTGCGTGGCAACTTCGACGGTGCTGAGCTGCAGCAAGGAAATCTGGCTCTCTCTCAGCAGCTCCTGGGCATCTTCGTCTGAACAAAGGGTTTCTGTTTCCATGTTGTTTTTCAAGTAGTATCTAAAAGAAACACAGAATTCAAAGGCTAGGCAACAGTCTCATGATATTCCTTGAAAAAATATTGCTACTTATTTATAGAATGTTTGGGAGAACACTGAAGCGAAAGATGGAAGAGTTATTTTTGACTATTAAAATTTTGTTGCTGCTCTGGCCGGGTTGTTCAGTGGTTGGAGCATGGTCCTGTACACCAAAAGGTTGCAGGTTTGATTCCTGGTCAGGGCATATACCTAGGTTTTGGGTTTGATTCCCAGCTGGGGGCACATACAGGAGGCAACCGATCGACTTTCACTCCCTCCCCCTCCCTCTCTGAAAATCAATAAAGATGTATCCTCAGTTGAGGGGCAAAAAAAGGGAATGTAGCGCCTCAGCCACCAGATCATAGAACCACCGATGCAGAAGTCATTGATGAAAACTAAAAAAAAATCATGTGGAATTTTACGGGCACCAGTTGTAATTTCTTTTTCTCTGCGAAAAAATGACAGAATATAGCTAAACTAAAAATTTTAAGTTTAAATAAAGAAATAGGCTATAAGGAGGAAGCAGGAAGATCAGACAGATCATCGTGCTCTTCTCCCAGAGAAAACCTCTGGCCACTGACAGGTTCAAATTGGATCAATCCAAGTTCATTTATTTATTCAAATACAAAAAAAAAAACAAAAAACCTATAAGCTATTTCTCCTATTTGATCCTAGAAGTAGAACAAAACTAAAACAGATTTTAACTGTTAAATATCTGATTTTCACCAAAAACCTACCAGTAAGTGGGGCACATATTCCTATTCTTCATACTTGGAAACAGAGGCTACAAACAATTAATGACTACTTCATACCAACTGCAGAGGCAGGAACTCAGAGATTGTGCTCCTTTCTTTGTGTAAGCAACTTGTTGAAAATAGAATCCAGATGTCTGCCCTGTGATTTTTTTTAAAAAAAACAGATGCTTTTCCTAAGTCACATTTCATAAAGGAAGAAACAGAACACGCCCAGATGGAGTTCTGCCTAACGGGCCTGCTGCATATTTCACCAAGGCACACACGACAGAAAACACACACCTTGGGCCCCTGACATGCTGATGTAACGTTCTCAGTTCTGATTATGGATGAAGCCCATGACATGGCTCCATCTATAATTTTCTTGAATAATAAATGTGAATCATGACTCCGCACCTCAATGGGGATTCATGGAACGCACGGTTACAGATATGTCAATGTACACTGAAATGATAATGAGAAAAACCGACCTCCTAAAACAACACTACCTGCTAGTGGCAGGGTTGGCAACAAAGTAAAAAGTGAAGAAGAGTAGAAGGGTATAGGCGATTGCAAGAAAACAAGTTTTGAAAGAATCCTATCAGTGTTCAGATGTACAACATGAAAAATTCAAGTAAAATGAAATACTCCATATGGCAACTAACATAGACAAAAACGTGATCTTTGGAACAACTTAATTTTTATTCAGTGAAGGAATGAGGCATTATAGGACAGTCAAAGCTTAACTACTTTTTGAACTTTCACAAATCTGTGCTTTGAGAATACCAGTTACATATATCTATCAATGGAAATATATCATTCAAGAGACTGACAAAATCAGGTGCAACGTCTTCTTGCAAGTTACGTGGGTTACATAAGCACGTATGCGGCAGGGGAACCAAGTTTTACAGCAACTACAGTTTGGTTCCAGAGTTAAGAAGTGCTTTTCACAGTACAACATACGACGACAGACAGCATGAGCCAATGACACTGTCTGAGACGTCTCCGCCTAAAGAAATGAGCCCCTAGAAGAGTTAGGTAGGCAGGAGCAAATGAAAGAATCCTATGAGACAATGTTTTTGTGAATGTACATTTCCAAGAACAAGAGAGCATCTGTGACATTCCTGCAGGCTTTCTTTACCATTCTGCCAGCTTGGAGCCCGACAGAGCCGGCGTGAGACCGTGGACAGTAACGACACTCAGGTCACCGTGCCCTTCTTTTGAACGAGTCCTTCAGACATCCTTGTGAGGGTCAGATTTTACCGTGTGCATTTACTTTGATACAGTGATTATTGGTGAAGGGGGAAAACTTCCTTTTTTTTTTGGTTAATCCTCACCTGAGGATATTTTTCCATTGAGTTTTAGATAGAGTAGAAGGGGGACAGGGGGACAGGGGGAGAGAAACATCGATGTGAGAGAGACACATCAATTGGTTGCCTCAAACCAGTAACCCAGTTACATGTCCTTGACTGTGAATCAAACCAGTGACCCCTTTGGTCCCTGGGCCAATGCTCTAACCACTGAGCCAAACCAGCCAGGGTGGGAAAAACTTCCTAATCCACAAGGGTACTTAATTGTTTCAAAAACCCTTTGAAAGTGTTCATCTCTTAGACTTTGATGTGGGCTTGAAAGGGGGGTGGGGTAAACAATCCAGAAAGATACAGTTATATACCTTCCACTCAGTTGTATTCGATCAGCAAGTTTGGAAAGCTGATCTGGAAGCCTTCTTTGTTTGATTACTCCCTCAGGTGTGACAGAGACCTCACATAGCGAATATTGATCTGGAGTGGCAGTCACAGCAAACTCCCTGATGGCCTGAATGACCACTTCCTTCGCCGTGGTGTCCTTACTGATCATGATGTATCGGCTTTGCTGATCAGCCTTAAAAACTCTTAACACTTGATCTGGCAAGTCTGGGGGAAAGAAAAGCCATAGGTAAGTAGAAAGTATTTTAATATATGATAATACAATTAAGTGAAGTAATCTGAAAATTTAAAAAAACACCTCCTTATTAAATAGAATGCTAAAATGTTACCTCTCCCTTACTATGTATAGCTCGTCTTCAAAGATGCAATCAGTCAACCTGCTGATAATCTGCAGAACACATTTTTCCTACAGATAAATAAGTGATCCACAGACAAATGCAAACCCATCAGTACACAACAGCTGAACACAGACTGTCATGTTAGTAGCAAAAAGTGAAATGTTTAAAGTTCATCTGTATTGTATTGAAAAGCCCATTAAGCTGACCTAAAATAAGCCTTTTACTCTATTTACTTAATATAACCGAGTAATGCCTGCATGGTATACATTACCTTCATGTAATGAAAGAGAAAACAAGGTCAGAGAGATTAATGTGCTCATGGCCATATCAAAATAGTCTGAAGAATAAAAAGGAGCTGGTTCCAAGTGTTTTAAGGTACGCCCTGACCCTGAGCATCTGCTAAATCCACGGCAAACGGAGAGAGACACATATTGCGTTGCCATTATGTTAGAAGAGAGAGATTACTGCAGTATAACAAAAAAGTTTGGGCAGTGCTCACCAGGAGTGGTGCTGAAGTCTAGAATGCGATGATGTGACTGCAATAAATCGGGGTTACTGGATGATAGGGTTCCACTGACGGGCAGTGCGGTCGGGATATGCTTTGTCTGCCTTAATCCCACTATACTGTCATCCTGAGACTGACCAATTCCAATATCACTACACAAACAGAAAAATTAGAAAATAAATAATCAACAAGTTAGAATGTTTAACTCATCAATATATAATAGATACAGACCATAAATAAATCGTATTTCATAAAACATCCAGTTAACATAAAAATATTGATGAATTTGGTGGAAAATTACAAAAGTAACTACTGCTTAAGTGTATCCAACTCAACCTGTTTTGCTGTTTCTTAAGTGTATGGTATGTTTCTCTGAAACCTACCTTTTAAATAAGACAAATCATCTCTGATGGGTTTGGCTCAGCAGTTAGAGCGTCATCCCTCAGACCGAAGAGTCTTGGATTTGATTTCTGGTCAAGGGCACATGTCTGGGTTTCAGGTTTGATCCCCAACCCCAGTTAGAGTCATGCAGGTGGCAACTAATCAATGTGTCTCTCTCACATCAAAGTTTCTCTCCCTCCCTTCCACTCTATCTAAAAGTCAATGGGAAAATATCCTCAGGTGAGAATTAACAATAATAATAATAATAATAATAATAAAATAAATAAGACAAATCACAACAAATATTGGTAGTTTCTCAGTACAGAAATACATTAAAGAAAAGATAAGCTCTAGTTTCTGATGGAAACAGACTTTTACTTATTATTATTTTTTAAAATACGTTTTTATTGGTTTTAGAGAGAAAGAAAAGAAGAGGGAGAGGGAGCGAAAGAGAAACACCAATGTGCGCGAGAAACATCGAATGGCTGCCTCCCGCACACACCCCAACCAGGATCAAACCCGCAACCCCAGCATGTGCCCTGACTGGGAATCCAACCTGGAACCTTTTGGTGCATGGGATAAAATGCAACCAACACCAGCCAGGGCAGAAACAGACTTTTTTAAAAAGCATAGCCCTGGCTGGTGTGGCTCAGTGGACCAATGAGTAGTGGATTCGATTCCAGTCAAGGGCACGTACCTCAGTTGTGGTTCATCCCCAGCCCTGGTTGGGGTTGTGTGGGAGGCAACCAGTCGATGTGTCCCTCACAAGATGTTTCTCTCTCTCTCACTCTCACTCTATCTGAAGATAAATAGAAAAAGATCTTCAGGTGAGGATTGGGGGGAAAAAGCACATTAAAAAAAAACAAAACAAAAAAAAACAGTCCAGCCAGTAAGGCTCAGTGGTCGAGCATTGACCCACATACCAAGAGGTCGCTAATTAAATTCCTGGTAAAGTCACATGCCCAGGCTGTGGGCCAAATCCCCTGTGGGAGGCATGGAGGACGCAGCCAATCAATGTCTCTCTCATTGATGTTTCTCTCTCTCTCAAATCAATAAAGGAAAAATAATTTAAAAAAAAACACATTTAGTTCTCACTCTACTGATGACTTCTGTATCAGTATGATAAATTGTTTTATAATCTGATCTTTAAGAACTGAAGAATTGAGTAAAATGAATAGAGGGGGGGAAATCCAAACTGTCCTAATTTCATTCTTCAGTGTTTCAGAGAAATGAGTTCACTATGGAGTCAAATGTAAATAAACCCTGACATAGACACTATTTTTTAATTATACAAAGCATAAAATAGCAGTGATGCATGGTGACATTTCTTAGCATCAAAGAGGAGGCAATGGAAATCCAGTGATGCACTTTTAATTCTACTCAAATTTTCTACTTATACATTTAAGTTCCTAGAGAAATACTACTTGTTATGGATAGCTACAAATTCATTTCCATTTATAAAAAGCCTGTTACTGTGGACAATTCTTGAAACAAGATCTGAAACATGGTTTAATAATAAGGTAAAGAAGCAAGGGCAAGAGCTTTCTTTTAAAAACAAAAATGAAAGATAATTTTAGTATAAGTTCTTTCAAATTTATAGGTAAGTCCATGCCAAAATAAAATTTCCATTTATTAAGCACAAAAGAGGCATGTATACCAAGAATAAGAGTATTAATGTTCTATGAAATATTCAAACCTTCAAGTTGTTAATAGAGTTTTATTATTCAACCATATGAGCCAGTCTTTACAGCCAAAACTATCAGATGTCATACATGACCCGAGATAAGTACTGTGGGCTCAGGCCAAAGGCACAGCTGCCCGGCCGCCCCTGGCACAAGTTGCTGTACACAGTAGGCCCACCCAGAAGAGCTGCCTTCTTAAATGTTTCTCTGCAGCGTTTTCACACCCAACATGAACTAACTCTCTCCCCTCGCCTTTATCTCTGTTATCCACAGACACGGGGATACTCCTGGATCGAAACTACTTTATATTCAAGATAATTCAGAAATGTCTCTGAACACATCCTCTTACGGTTCAACCTTTCCAACTTTCTCATTGTTACTGAAACTGGTTTTTGGCCTTTGTTGATTTTAGTCTGTTGACTTATTCCCTCTTTTCTCTGGATTCATCAGTATCTCTCTGTTTACCTGACAAACAGATCTGAACCCTACAATCCTCTGGCCTCACCCCTTTCTTTCCCCTCTATGTACATCCCTCTACCAGGCCTCTATCCTTGGCAGTCTGCTATCATTCAGTGTGTTAGCTTCTGTAATACTGATAATGTTGGGGGGGGGGGGGGGCGCATATCCAGAGTTTTCTCTAATTGACTAGTTTATTAGTGCCTTTGTCAAGAAAAGAAAATCTTTGTAAACACATGCTGATTTCTAAGAGGGAAAAGTTTAAGTAGTATCCAGTATTACATCAAGTCTATCATACCAAGATATAGATCCTACATTTTACTGAGCCTTCTTTTTAAAATAATTATTTTCTTCCTTTCCATTGCATTACAATATGAATCACAGCAAATAATTTTACATAATAAAATACATACATGACTCATAGATTTTTTAAAACTACAAACCAAGGTGCTTCCTCACTGTTGTAAATTCAGCACAAGACAAAATGATACATAGTATTCTCGTACTGTGTACCTCACCAACATCCTATACTAGTTCTTACATGTCACTTTTCTATTTATACCTGACAGAATCATGCTGACATTTGATTTTTTTAAAGGTTCATATTTAATTCGTGTTCAAATATTACTCTGAATTCTTTCATTGTTATTGTGCTAATGATGTGAAGTTTTGAAGGTTTCACAGAACATTAATACTTTTAGACTTTACATGCATGCCTCTATGTGCTTATCTACAAGGGTCACTTTCAAAATTGATTTCTGTTTTCTGTAATGCCAGCAGATCTAATCCATGAACCTTTGGAAACTTACTCAATATAAATACACTCTCGAGTCTATAAATAAAACCATCATATTCATTGCTTATCCTTAAGACTCTAATGTAGAAGTCATTCACAGCTGATACAAAAACACCAAACATTGTAATTCAATGGGGACAACACAAGCTTGACACTCAACCCACCAATAGTATATTCTAGACCATATTTCTCTAATCTGTGGATGAAAATTTTATCTGAAATGGAATTTAAAAACAAAAATGCTTGATATAGTCCTAAACATCTATATCTACTGCTCCTTTATAAGACCCATTAAATTATCAAAGAAAGATAACATGTTTTCAAGTTATTTTTTATACCATTGTACTTTGAGGAATATATAATACATTTATATAATACATAAATTTGTTGTACCCATGTTATTTAACATCCAAAACTGTTTGACTGCTAGTAATTGAGTTTTATAAAACATCCTTAGACTCAGAAGAAGCTAAAATGAAGAAATAACCAAGCAAACAAGCAGAGCTAAGAAAAAAATGCGACACCAACAACTTTGTCTAGTCTGAGCTCCTGGCATGAATAAACATCCAGGAAGAGATTCAAGATACACCCAACATTCTGACTGTAGAGATCAGTGGGAGGAAGAAAAGGAGCTCTGTGCTTGGTTGGTGACATATTGGCAGTGGTTAAAGAACTGTAAACAGAAAAGCAAGGAAAAAAGAGAATGGCATGATGAACAGTAGCAATGGGAAGAAGCAATGATTTGGTTGGCAAAGAGCAGACGCTGATGGTAGAGAAGATACCCTGAAACAAAGAAACAGTGGCAAAAACACCTCCCAGTCATAGGAGAGATGGGAGCAAATACAACATTATTTTTTTTTTAAGCCTGAATGAGAAAAAAACAGTTCAAGTGAGGAAGTGCTAAGCTCTTCCACACTTGAAGACTGGGATTGGCAAGTAAGTGACAAAAACAGGATGAAAACAAACTTGACTGTTCAATATTTCTTCTAAGACGGCTCAGGCATAAAAGCTTACAACCACTTTTAGACTCACGTGCAAATATTAACTATATCATTACCAATGCATATTATTATAACACAAAAAAATAATGCATTAAATTTACACAGACACATACTTATATGGTTTCTGTGGCAAGATACTGATTCGAGTCTTGTCGAGTATCTTCTTTAGCTTGTTCCTTCCTCCAACGGTATTGGCTTTACTTTTTTTATTGACCTTTTCAAGTCCTATCACCTGTTCTACATCTACAGCAAGATCTGGAATGGAGTAGCGACTGGCCTTTTTGATATCTCCAATTTTAGGAAGGTGAGGGGCACCATTTCTTTTCTCTTCTGACAATCTTGTTAGAAGTTCTTTAAATACTAAAATGGAAACAAACACCACAAAACGCCCATTATAATAAATCCAAGCAATTCAAAGGCAACAGTAGAACTTGGAAACAGATGAGAAGTATAGACTTCAACTATTGAAACCATAATCCTGTAGGAAAACACTACTCCAATGAATGAATGACAACAAGAATCTGCTTTATAATGATGCTCCACCATTTCCACTCTAAGTTAAAGTACTATGTTCGTGTTATTTTTTTAAAGAGATTTTGGATAGATTTTTAGAGAGACAGAAGAAAGAAACATCAATGTGAGTGCAATATCCATCGGCTGCCTCCTGCGCGCCCCCTACAGGAGATCAAGCCCATACTGAGGCATGCCCCTTGACTGGGAATCAAACCAGCAACCTTTTGGTGCATGGGACAATGTCCAACCAACTGAGCCACACCAGCCAGGGCTAAAGTAGTATATTCTTTACATGCATAGGTATTTAAAACATTTATGCATAAAAACATAGATAGAACATAGATAATTTTCATGGTCCTCACATTAGTAGATTCTGATTTAGATGTAATTGTATACTTACATAGTTAATTGGATACTATGCATTTTACTATAGCTTTATTCCTAAGACGTTTGAAATATTACTTATAAAAATGACCTTTCTATGATTAAGATGTAAATATGAAAAGACTGAAAGGAGAAAAATGAAAGTATGCAAGAATACTTACCAAATAAGTTGGTTTTCACAGTGATAGATAAATGTGTGTTATTTCTAAGAATTTCCATGGCTTTTGACAGCTGAATATTTTCAAAGTTTTGACCATTTACTTCTAATATCTAAAAATTAAATTATAAAATTAATTTCAATATCCCAATTAACTGAAGAAACACACACACACACACACACACACACACACACCACACTAAAACCCCCCTTGAAGTGTGGATTTAGGAATGTCATACCTGATCCCCTCGTTTCAAGCCTGCTTCAGTTGCTTTGCTACCTGAATCAACACTGTCCACAAAGATTCCAAATCCCTTCTCTGAGCCTCCAAGTAAAATAAAAGGCAGAGGAGCTTCTCGGGATGGTTTTGTTAATGTCATCAATCTTCTTTTTGCTTTAGCTGCACATGCAATATTTAACAACCTTAGATGTCCACCCATTTTCTGTAAGAGTTCAGAAAGAGTAGTTTCAGAGACAGGCTCAATAAAATAAACTTAAACAGATGTGGTTTAAAAAAAAAAAAAAAAAAAATCACGCTTATTACCTCTCTTTCCAGATTATTTTCAAATTCTTCTAGAAATCGAGTCATCGCAGGATCTCCTTCAAAGTCATTGAAGTGATTATTTACCCACAATAATACTACCCGTGTAACCTGAAAAATTAATTGTTTTCAATAGGTTTTCTAAAGATATAGTGCTAAACATCTGCAATTAAAGTGATTTCAAGTTTGATATCTAACAAACAATGTACCTAGCAACAATGAACAAGAAAATAAACTAAACAAAAACCCTCAGCAAGGAACTTATTCATAAGAAAATGACCTTCTAAAAATATACATTTATACTTTGAATACTGACTTTACACTGTTTTGCCAAGAAAAGTTTTGAATCTGTGAAGGATGGTAATAAACTTATATCTTACTTATTTTCAAAATATATTTGAAACGGGTCACAGTAAAAACAAAGCTATAGTAAAACCAAAATAATTGAATACAAGACAAAGAAGATGGAAATTAAAAAAAAAAAAAAAAAAGAGGGCAGAATAGACAAAAGGGATAAATAGTATTAAGTTTAGAAAGACCTATAAGGGAACAAGTTATAAAAGGAAGGAGCTAGCTGGGAGTTAAATATTATTTGCTAACATTAAGATTTAGAAACCTTTTAACACCTTTAACTCTTCAGGAAAAATAGCCTTTCTTATCCCACACCACGTGTTTTCACACAGCCCAGCACCCGTTTACAGGCTAATGCGCACTCAGAGCTGTAGAATTTCTTTGTACCCAGCATGAACTGTGTGATGTTCATTAGACTATTAGTTCCATGAGTACAACAACTCATTTTTAAGGACATTCTTAATACTTATAATAATGCCTGGCATAAAGTATATTCTCAGTAAAACTTTACTAAATGAAGTGACTATAATTGCAACTTTAAATATAAAAGTACTTATTTTCTTTTATATGAGTTTAATTTTCTATATTAGAATAACAAGATACAAGAAATTTTCCATAGACTCATTTTCAAACATTAGCTAACTTCTTAAAATGAGAAAATTAAACACCCTGTTCTAGCAGTACAGAAACAGAGATGATGGCATATAGTTTTCAACTATAGTTTAAAAAATTGTTTATAGTTAATATGCTGTGACAAATTATGGTATAAACCTAATCACGCAGGAGTCAAATCTTGATATTTATATGAATTTTGTGTCATTTACTATCATTATTGCCCAATTGCTCAAATTTAGGAAACATATAAGATGATCTCCCTTAAAACTATATTTAACACCTGACCTTTTTATAAAATTAAAATTTCACAGCTGAGAAGCCAACATAAAAGTCCACTCACTAGCCATATTACACATGATAACAACGAGATTCATAAATCATAAACTGAAAACTATCAACCACTACTGCCAACAGCAGACAACCTTTACGATGTATTAAGTGCTGGCTCTGAGCCAGGCACTAGATAAAGAACTTTACTTCTATTATTCATTTTCACAATAGTCCCCAAAGGATGCGATTGTTCCTTTTACAAGTAAATGAATGAGTATCAGGAGAGTCAGATGGCGTGTAAGGGGCAATCCTCAAATCAAGTTCTCATGGCCGAAGAGCTAGGCTGAGATCTTCTAGGCTCGAGACTCTCAGAATATGAACTGAAAGCAACACTGTCCAAATGATTTCTCAAAGGCCACACAGTTAGTTGGTGGCAGGACCAGCACTAGAGCTTGGGGCTTTTCACTGTTAGTCTCCCGTTCTGGATTTTCCTACCCTGCCTCTCCCAAGTCTGTCCCCTGTAAATCAGCCTGCACATGGGAAGGGGAACTGAGTACAGACTATGATTAACTCTCAAACCTCATAAGACTATGTAGTTTATCATCCAATCTAGCCTTGACACAGCTCTCAAGAACTGCTAAAGAGGGTGTGTTCAGAATCATATTACTGGGACCTACCAGCCAGCAATGACTATAATGAAACGCTGAAATAGTGTCAATTTAGAAATTGTAACTTTTAGCTGGTGTACAATGCAGATTCCTATGCAACCCAGTTGTTTGGGGGTTGTGTTTAACACATTCCCAATAGAACTAAAATTTAAACATTTGTAAACAATTTATTAACTTTTGTATTAAAAAAAAAAAGGCATTTCTAGGACTGAACTCAGAAACCTATAATAAGAACTAACATTTATCACTTTGGCTTAAAATGTACACTCTCTTATTCCATTAAAATAATTTGAACATAATTGGCAAGGCAAATATATATATTAAAGTATCTTTAAGTTTATATCTGAATATTTCATATTTAAAAGTCAAGCTAGGATATATTTTCGAACCTTATCCCTGAGGCTCGGGTCATTAAACCACTCCAATAACTTTTTGCCCACTTCCATTGGGCTAGAAAGAAAAGTCCTATAGGTCAACAGGAAGTCTTCTATGAACGTTGGATCCACCACCGAATGCTCTTCCACCAAATGCATTGTTAATCTTTCAGAGGTACCCTGTAATAAATAAAAGGTTCAATCACTATTCTGCATAAATAGCATCTATATGATACCTTGATTTCAAATCTTCAACTTAAGATGAAGTGGGTAGTGATATAGATAATAATAAAACTGCTATTCATCAGGAAACATAAAGATTTTTTTACAGTTGATAACTTTTAAGAGAAATTATGCTTAAAAATGGGGTGGGGGAATCTAAAGTTGTCATAACTGATATCACCAAAAAAAAAAAACCCCAAAACAGAGCCATGTTTGTCTTACCTTGATGACGATGTGTCCCTTTCTTGTTCCAGTTCGATCAAGTTCTCGGTGTTCTTTCACCATCACAATTTCTCCTTCCTCCTCCACTTTTTGCATGTTCTTTTCTACTTGGTTGAGAATACGGCAATAATCTTGCTGGGCTATGCAGACAAACTAGAATAAAATATAAGTCACATGTTAATGATAAAGTGCTTGCAAGAGACCTAGCAGTGCTAATAACTCAGTGATTTAATTATTTAACTCAGACATTTTTCTCTGTCTTTCCCATACTTTCTAATGAGTGCAGTAATGAACCTTAATCAGAATCCTCTACTTTTTAATGTATTTCTTCCTTGGTCAAGAAAAGTTTCATTTTTTAGAATATTTATATGCAGTTTATATTAAAAATCTTAATAATTTTAAAAATCAGATGATAAAATTAAGAGTCCTTTCTCATGCCTCTTCTTTAAAAATTAAAAAAAAACATTATAGGAGGGGAGTGGAATCTTAAGAGGATTGATATAAAAACATAATCATGATTTATTGGGTTTTTAAAGTTTGAAAAGAATTTAAAAGCATTTTAAAACAAAGACGGTTTTAATAAAAAGACATTGAAATTCCATATATAGATACATGGAGCGGATATTAGAAATTTGCTAATTATATTGATAAGAAATTACTTTAGCAACTCTGTTCAAAATTAAGTTCACAAAACAAGCTACATACTTATAAGGCTCAAACCGTTATTCCTTGTAACAGGTATTAAGAATGATCCTTGTGCCCTGGCTGGTTTGACTCAGCAGTTAGAGCATCAGCCCATGGACCAAAGGGTCCAAGGTTTGATTCCAGTCAAGAGCATGAAGCTGGGTTGCAGGTTCAATCCCTAGCCCTTGTTGGGGTCGTGCGGGAGGCAACCAACAGATGTGTTTTCTCACACTGATTTTTTTTTTCTCTCTCTCTCTCTTTCTCTCTCCCTTCTGCTCTCTCTAATAATCAACAGAAAAATATCCTTGGCATGAGGATTAACGAAAAAAAAAAAGAATGATCCTTGCTCTTAAAGTAAAAGTTAACAATAATATACACAACAAGCCATTACTCCTCCATGACCCCAAATATAAAAAAATGTCAGGGCTTAGGGCAAACCACTTAATTATGTTTCTTGGCAGTTTTAAAGGAAGTTAAGAATGAATTATAGAAATTACTTATTATACAAATTAACCAAAGGCCATTGCTGCATCTGAATTTTAAATGATTTATTCTTATTTAAGAAATCATTTCAAAATAAAAAAGCACAGAAATTTCTTTTTCTCTTTTAATGTAAAAAGATGAAAAAAAAGGGGGGGTTGGTTATAGCATATAAGATAAAATATGAAACAGTCATCCAAAATCATATTTTCATAGGACATTTAGAGTTCTGGCTTAATGTTCATGATACTACACTAAATACCTTTTAAAGTTGAAAAGACAAATACTGCTGTATTTACAATGACATCATCATCCTCCATATGTTACAGTGGCCTCACAAAACTTTCTCAATTTATCCTCCAAATCATCCCATAAAGAAGGTACTACTATTATGCCATTGCACAGATGAGGACACAGCTGTAGCACCGGCATGCTAATTTGTCTTATAATCACATGCTTGCTAATTTAAAAAAATTATATATGCATATCAAAATCTTAGAAGGAAATATAACAATGTTAATAATTCTTATTTCTGAGCAATGCAAGTTACAACCGACTTTCATTTTTTAATATACTTTTCTATAGTTATTGTATAATCAATAACATTTTTTTTTGATTTTTGTTTTTTTTACAGAAGTAGCAGGAGCAGTTCACACTCGAGAAACAGCATTGTTACAATATTGTTTCTTCTACTGAGTTGGCTGATATAACATCACTAATTTTTCTCTTAAGAGTTTAGAATAAAAAAGTTAAATTTCCAAAGTTTTCCTTGTAAGTAGTTTTGCATAGTTCAATTCATTTTTAAAAATTCCTTAAGAATTATTTCCATTATACTAATCACAGATATATATATGTATATACATATATATATACACACACACACATACATATACATATATATGTTTTTAAATATGTGGTCCATAGTCTCGTCTCAAAAATATTTTTATTTTTTTCATTTTCATAGGGCAGAAAAATTGTTCCCCCATCTCCAAATAATCTTAGGTGTTTTTTCTTATACTCAGTTTTAGAGAACATAATTCTATCATTTTCTTATTCATCTCTCCTAAAAAGAAAAATATCCCTGAGTTAAAATAAGTAGATAGGAAAAGAAAATGCATTTTGAAGAGAATATACTAAGATTAATCTTCTTAACTAAGAATTTAAGGAAATTAGAATAAGTGTAATTTAAAATTCTTGATATCTAGACAACCCTTTTGGGGTTTTCTGTTTGTTTTTTCTTCAGAGATATTAATGACACTCTCCAGTTTATCCCATATGCTTTGGTCTGCAACTATCAGAATATGCGATTCAAACTTACACATAAGGATTCACATTTGCATTAAATCCGAAGCAAAGGGTGGGTTTGGCACTGACTGACTCAATGAACCAAATATGTGATGGAGGACTCAGGTTCTTTTGGTCTCTCTGTGCAAACATACACAGTTTGAGCTTCAATCTAAAGCAAGTTCCTCATAGTTCTAGGATGCATGCTCGTGACAACTGAGCTTCAAGCTTCCTCCTTCACATGCAGGAGAGTGGCAGAAACCATTACTTCTAGTTTGGGCATTTCTTCAGCAAACTAAAATACCATTAAAAAAAAAATTGCAAACCGCCCTGGCCAGTTTGGCTCAGCGGTTAGAGCGTCGACCTGCGGTCCCAAGAGGCCCGGGTTCGGTTCCCGCTAAGGGCGCGTACCTCGGTTGCAGTTTGTCCCCGGCCCTGGTTGGTCGTGCGGGTGGCAGCTACTCGATGTGTCCTTTTCACATCGATGTTTCTCTCTCTCTCTCTCTCTCTGTTCCTGTCGCTCCCTCCAACTCTACCAGAACAAAAAAAAAAAGGAAAAATGTCCTCGGGTGAGGATAAAAAAAAAAAAAAATGCAAACCAAATTTCTAATATGGCAGCACAGAGCTGATATCTAAAACAAAACTTTAGATAAAAACGTTTACCTATATTTTTATTAGAAGATTTATTTGTACTTTAAGAAGTTTATAGATCTAGTGAGAAATTCATAAGTAAAATATAATTTTAGTATAATAAAGTCAATTTTTGCCCAGCTGGTGTGGCTCTGTGGATTGAGCATCGACCCATGGACTGAGAGGTCCCAGTTCGATTCCCAGTCAGGACACATGCCTGGGTTTCCAGCTTGATCCTAGTAGGGGGCGTGCAGGAGGCAGCCGATTGATGTTTCTCTCTCTCTCTCACATCAATGTTTTTCTTTCTCTCCCTTCCTCTCTCTCTAAAAAAAATCAATAAAAACATGTTTAAAAAAATAAAAAATAAAGTCAATTTGTGAATTATATACATAATTGTTTTGTTGAGGTTTATACTTTCAGACAGCTGCTAGAGCATAAAAAAAGTATGTTACCATCTTTGCACTTTGATATAAAATAAAAAGCCAATTAAGATTTTGCTTATAAAAGGCCAATGGCAGTTTATGTCACAGAATTCTTTTCTTTTGGACACATGACATTACAATTTACATTCAGCAGAAACGTAATAGAGAATAAGTAAAAAAAGAATGAAGAAAAATTAAACTTTAATCATGATACAGAACAGTCAACTTTCAATTTATCCATGTAACTGCTTTCTCCTCCAAAACTACTTCATAAATTCAAAGCGTCATTAGCTCCCATGGTCTCTGGAAAAGGTGAGTCTAATAGATTTACCTTAAGACGTTAGATCTATTTAAACTGTTACTTTGCGGTCTATAAGGGAAATTCGGACCTAATCATTCACACATCGAAGGGTGTAGGGCAGGGCAAAGAAATCCCTGGGGTGTCAGTGGAAGGCCTAAGACGTGGGCAGTGCAGAAGGGAAAAGAGACCTGGAGAGAAGAGCAAGAAAGAAAAAGAGGGACAGAAAGAGGGAGAAGGGAAAGAAAGAGGCATGTATGGAGAATGGTACCACAGGATGTCTACACCTAGCCCCGCCTTCATCCTTCAAATCAAACAGGGGAACGAGAACAGACCCTCAAAAGAGAGAACTGGAAGAGTAGCACACACAGAAGGGATCCAGAGCAAATACAACCTTGACCATACTGCGGGACCCAAATATACAGAAATAAATGTTAAATTTACTCCAGTCACTATTGTGTCCTTAGGCTCAACATGAGCTCAGCTAGATAGCACATAGCCCAATATTTATTTTCACTGAAATGTAAGAAAATGAGATCCGATCCTAAGCAAAGTTGCTTCTTCCTGGTAAAGAGAACACCATTTTTGTTGATGTTATTCAACACTTGCTCATTGCCTACAGTGTGCTCAGTAGAATAACAGCAATTTATAAAGGGCATTTTATGGACAAATGAAACATCATTCTCATTGTCCTTTACTTCCTCTAATAAGAGGATGATCAAACATTTGTATCTTCAGCCCTGGCCGGTTTGGCTCAGCGGTTAGAGCGTCGGCCTGCGGTCCTGAGAGACCCGGGTTCGGTTCCCGCTAAGGGCACGTACCTCGGTTGCAGTTTGTTCCTGGCCCTGGTCGGTTGTGCGGGTGGCAGCCACTCAATGTGTTCCTTTCACGTCGATGTTTCTCTCTCTCTCTCTGTTCCTCTCTCTCCCTCCCACTCTACCTGAACAAAAAAAATGGAAAAATGTCCTCGGGTGAGGATTAAAAAAAAAACAAAACATTTGTATCTTCTGACAGATATAACACGTTTTAACAGAAATGTATGAAATACTATCCCAAACAAGCATTTACATTAAATGGTTTAACTGCATTCTCCATCCTTGTCAGGCCTGACAGAGGGGTTGGTGAAAGTACAGGAGTGACTCCTGAAACCCCTGATTGAACACGTTCCTTTTACCCCGGCTTCGCATGGAGGGGAGAGGAAGAAAGAGACTTTCACTAGCAGATAAGGCACACTTAACCCTCTCTGTAGATCTGTGAACCTTGTTAACAGGAGCTGGAGGAGTTAAGAGTTTTCCTTTTTAACCAGAGTTTTCTTCTAGAGTCTACTTTGCTGACTATCACTCAGGGTTTCCTACCAATTCCTCATCCAGTAAATACACGAGACTTTCTTCCCTAATGAATACCTCTTCTCCCATTCCCAATTATTTAATGTTACCTGGTACATCTGACATTACACAAGCACTCTGTTATCTTCAGTCATGTAACATTTTTTATCAATTATTCTGACACATTTCTATGCCTCCCATATCATTTCGTCCCATGATTACAAAATTTCTAACAAAAAGGGTTGGCCAATTAAAAGGTGTTAATGTAATTGCTGAATTCTCAGAAATAACATAACTTCTACTTGCCCTTTAAGGGCAGAGACTGGGACTCAAATGCTCTAGTAATTCTGACATAGAATGGTTCAGGGAAGAACTGGTAAGAGATAATAGGACGGAGAAACACTTAACAATTTTATAGTTTGTTTTGACTTAGTCTAGCTTTGTTATTTTTCAAGTACAATTCCAAAGCCCAAATATCATATACGATCTCTTTTAAATACATATTTCCAGGCCAAATAAAGACGTCAAGATTTATCTACCATTGTGTTTTGCTATTTTTTACAAGAAAATAATTGAGAGTTGACTATATTTATTTTATTTTATTTTTTTTATCCTCACCCGAGGATATTTTTCCATTTTTTGTACAGATAGAGTGGGAGGGAGAGAGAGGAAGGGAGAGAGAAAGAGAAACATCGATGTGAAGGGACACATCGAGTGGCTGCCACCCGCACGACCAACCAGGGCCGGGGACAAACTGCAACCGAAGTACGTGCCCTTAGTGGGAACCGAACCCGGGTCTCTCTGGACCGCAGGCCGATGCTCTAACCGCTGAGCTAAACTGGCCAGGGCGAGAGTTGACTATATTTAGAATGCTCTCCTGTCATTACATATTCAAAAGATTGAATTCACAGCCATTTTTTGCTCACTGAAAGAATTATTTGGCAACATTGTTTTGATTCTTTTGGTAAGATTACTTTATAGACATGGTCATTTTTCCTTTTAGTGAGTAAAATGCTTGAAATGAAAAATTAAATGAATACTATTTAACACTTTGCAGACACTATAAAAATTCAATCATGTTCTTTCAGAATAAGGTATATTCAGATGTATTTCAGTCTGCAGATAAATACATTGAGGACTTAACATTAATTAGTCTAAGTCCAATCTTCTGGTTTATTTATATTAAAATATTTTATCTTTCAAAGATAAATTTTTTAAGAAAAGACAAACTATAAACACTCGATAATAAAAGCATCTTAAAATTACTTCTAATATAGAAGCTACCCATTATATTAATCTAATTAAATTTCATATTTGGTCTCAATATTTCCTCTAGTCTTTAATTAAATGTTTTTAAATAATGAATATTGACATAGTACTAGCACTGACATGTTAGCTATAAAGTATTTTCTTTATATCAGCAATTATTTTTTACTAGCAAGTTTTTTCTACTGAGTCATACCAGGATTAATATTCATGAGTTCTGATACTTCCTTATCTTGTAGGTATTTAAATAAAAACACTGCATAACCACATCAGATCATCTTTATTTTTATTTACTTAATTTTTTTTCTTTATTGATTTTAGAGAGAAAGGAAGAGGGAGAAAGAGCTAGAAACATCAACGAGAGAGAACATTGATTGGCCGCCTCCTGCATACCCCCCACTGGGGACCAGGCCCATTACCTGGGCATGTGCCCTGAGCAGGAATCGAACTGGCAACCTCTTGGTGAATGGGTTGATGCTCAACCACTGAACCACACTAGCTAGGCTTTATTTTTTCAATTGGAAGAAGTCAGAAGCTCATTTTTATTTATTTGTTTTCTTTTTTCATTAATCCTCACCAGATGATATCTTTCCATTGATGTTTAGAGAGAGTGAAAGAGGAAGAAGAGAGGAGAGAGAGAAAAAGAGAGAAATATTGATGTGAGAGAGACACATTGATTGGCTACCTCCTGCACAACCCCAACCGGGGCTGGAGTTTGAACCTGCAGCCCAGGTACGTGCCCTTGACTCGGAATCAAACCCACAACCCTTCAGTCCACAGGCTGATGCTCTAACCACTGAGCAAAACCAGCCAGGGCCAGATCATCTTTATTAATCTACTTATAATTTATTTTTAGAATGGAAGTTTTACTCCCATATATTTTGGTGGACAGATTATCAATTATTAATGGAAATTTTGTAATACCATTCTTACAGAACACTTTTTTAATAGAATGTATTTCCAGAACACTAAGTTTTGTATAGTTCAAATAACTTTCAGGGAGATTTATTTTTAATTTTCTGGGGTGTGATAACACTAAAATAGTTCTACTTTAAAATCTTACTTATAACTCTAAAAGATGACCTATTTATATAGACAGGAAAATCTTACCACAACTGCATATATATATGTTCTTTATTAAGCATAAAATAAACATATTTTAAAATGAAATTTCATACCTGGCAGTCATCCACCTTTGTTCTCATTACTCCTTTCATATATTCCTTGTCCATGGTAGGAGAGACACCAAAACTATTTCCCATACATAATATTTCTGCTTTTCCATCTGGATAAGTCACTTCTACAGAACCATTCAGAATTACTGACCAGGAATCCAGCTAATTCAAAACATGAAGACAGAGAAGAAAATAATATCATGATCATGCAGTTGTAAATGCAAGAATGGTCCCTATAAATGATTTAGCAGACCTTTCATTATAAAGATGGAACAAATAAGTAAAGTTAATTGTTTACCAAATTCACAGAACAAGGATAAAGCACAGCCATAGATCTATGTCTCTTTGTATGTCTAGCACAGGGTGCCCGAAATTCCGCTCTCTTATTTTGACTTTGCATAGTCGTCTCTAAAATAACATGAGGGAAAAACTTTCTCCTGTTCCCCAAAATACATGTAGTAAACAAGAAAAAATGATCACCACTGCCTCAATATCAGTTGCTTCTGACCAAAAGGCATTATATTACGAACATTTAGTTTATAAAATCTGTCAAGTTAACACATAAAAATATCTCTATTAATATCATTTAAAATATTGTTAATAATTATAAATAAAATAATGGATCTGAAATACTTTGATGTAATAATAAGCATATCATAATTCTCGATTTATTCAAACTTGTTGTCTATTCTTTTCTAAGGGGAAACAGAACTGGGTTTCTGTTTATTTGCTGTATTGACAGAACCTCAAACTGAAACTTTTTAAGTGGTAGAAATATTTACTAACCTCTTCGCCATCATTTAACACTATGGTTCCAGCTCTTTCCACCACTGCAAATACCATCACAGCACAGAGTTCTCGTCTCACCGACATTGTCATATTGGCAAAGGCAGGCAACTGGTGCATAAATTCCAAGAGTTGTTCTGAAAAGCAAAGGTACTCGGTGTAAAAATTAAACTTTTTTTTTTTTTTAAACAAGCAACCAAAAAGAATGCTCTAGGGTTCTTTATTTTTAAAAGCCTTACTATTTGACCCATTGAAAAATATAATTACTTTAAGTATCTTTAGTACAAGTTGGGTTTCTTGCAGGTCTACAAAGATTTGACATTTCCTTGTTGCTTCAGGAGCAACCGTACACACTGTAATTCAAATTCTAATGGGAATGAATAAATTAATAAACTTCAAATGAGAAATTCCTGTTGAAAATGAGTTGTGATCTTATTAAGGTTTGTTGAAGGGTAAAATGACAAGCTGAAATGAAACTGAGCTCTGAGAATTCTTCAAAAGCCACTCTAGTCCATTCCAGTCCTCCCAGTGCCTCTGGGCAAGTAGTGCCTGACACAATAAGCAGAAATAAATACCTTCAATCTACAGATACTCCATTAGGTAGAAACCAAAGGGTATTTCCAATGGATCAGACAAATCTATAAGAACTAGTCAATTAAAATTTTATATTATACGACAGGTGCAAATGACAATTAATATATTATTTCTTATCCTACAGATTGGCAAAAAAGAACGTCAAGTGTGATCAGGTGCTGGCAATGCGGTGGAGAAGCACTATCGGTGTGGTTCCAGCTGTTGACACGATGGGTGACTCCACAGTCTTTCCAAGTCCTGTGGTCTCTGTTTTTAATTTTCTCCATTATTAGCTTTACTAATTACTTACTAAATTCTTTCCTTACTCTTCCACATGGCTCTTTGAGGTACATGTTTCCTTTTTTATTTCACAAGGAGGAAACAGAAGCTCAAAGTCATACAGTTAAGAGGTGGCATATTTTACTCATTTGTAAAAAAAAAAAATAATAATAATATACATACCTTTACTGGACACTTGGGAGGATCAAATGCAATAAAGATAAGTCCTTAACACAGAGTAAGTATTTACTAAATTAGAACTGCTACTACTGTCTTTATTATTATACTCATATCTTTCCAATTTTAGCTAAGTAAAAATTCCACTATACTTTTCTTGTTCTCACATAATGAAATTCTCCTTATGCACATTCCATCGATTAAGATGTATGACAAATTTTATGTTGTTAGATATAGTTTGTTACTTGCAAAAACAATGTAGAATAGAAAGATATATTCTATATATGAATGTATATGACATATACATATAAATGTATATTACATTTCCAGAAGGTCAGACTAGGTGATTTTCTCCGGTTCAGCTGGGTAATGTCTGCTCTGATTAGACCCTATGTCATCTCTCCTGTGTAAGACCTATCTTTTCATTCCACAGGGTGGCTTTGGTAACCAGGAGCATAATAATGATGGGTGGTACCCAGGGACTCTGTCCAATAAGACAGTGTTCTTCAATTTGACCCAGACTGATGTGTCAAGAATTAAATTTCTGTTGCAACCAGCATTTAAAAAGAAAAAAGACGTAAGAGTATCAAAGCATATCACTTACAGAAAGAATGTGTCGGTGTGTTTATGTTATTTGGTTCTGGGGACAGCAATAAAGCAATTTTGAAACTGCTGCAAGAGATGACCCATATCTATTACACATGGGAGGTAGGAATCATTGTTTTACAAATGTACTGGACTTTTGATCTGAAGCATAAAGGCCAATGAACAAGTTGTGGTCCTCTGACTAGCACATCACAGCTCTGCTGCTTCCAGTCTCTGTTTCTTCAGCTACACCGCACCCCCCGCCATAAGGTATTAAATTATTACCTAGAGACTAGCCATTTTATTCTTTTCCATCCCTTAGTAAAAGCCAAATTTTTTTGGACAGGCAAAGATTCATGGTCTTAAGAAAAATATGAGGCTGGAAGTTGTCAGAAATATTTTCAATGTAACATAATATTTAGACAATAATAAAGTAAAATTACCAACACATGTATGAGGGAACAATTGGAACTATACGAATATGAAGTATAAAATATAGTCACTAATATTTGCTATGATGATTTGAAGTGCCTTGCGTAGACATATTTCTTGCTTTCTGACAGATTCCTACTCCATTCATAGATCATAAAATCAATTTGTGATATATGAGTAGTGACTAACATTAAAAAGTACAAGATCGAAAATATCTGTGCATGACATATAATAAGGATAAATAATAAAAGAGAAAGAAAATATCTGACAACAGAAAATGTCTATCATCCTTCAGGCTCAGATGAAAAACAAAAAATAAATAAATGGCTAACCAGATGGCATCTAAGAGTTTTTAAGAGTCTCAAAGATTCATTAATGGTATCACTGGTTTTGTGATAACTTCTACTACTTACTATACTGGAGGTTCAGAGCAATTAAAAAATAAAGAATTTCTATCACCAATATTTCAAAAAATAAATATAAAACAAAAGCATTTTGCTAAGGGCTCAACATATACTCTGATAATGCTACAGGGATCTTGCAGAGTTAAAGGGTCTAGAACCAAGAATTCAGGACTTGGAACTGGTAACAAGGTAGTCCCTAGGACACAGAAAAAGAACTAGCCATGGATGGGAGGGCAGACCCTTTTTCTTCTCCATTGCTTGAAGAATATATTCCAATATGACATTAATTTTGTTTGGAAAGGGATATTGCTGTTTATAAATGATATCAGCCATTTTAAATAACATTTTTCTCCTAGTAAATGTGACACAACGGGAAACGAAATAAACAACTTACAGACCAGAAACAGAAGTCAGTTCAGAAAATTAGCTTACTTTGTTCGCTTTGGTTTAATTTTATGTAAGAAACAATATATATATAGATATATTTAGATAGATAGATAGATAGATAGATAGATAGATAGATAGATAGATATTGTTGTTTAAATCTATAGAGTTTTTTGGTAGTGCATGAAGGGGGGGGATTTCTTTGAAAGGGATCAAAGTAGTTTTCTACCTAACAGCCATTAAATAATTGGCTGCCTACAAATTATGAGTTGGAGACCAAAAATAAATAAAGTCCCTTTTTTTGAAGTGATGAAACAAAGGTACACCTAAGAACAGGGAAACTCAAAAGAAAAAAAAATTAATTCCTGTAGTTTTTAAAATATGATAAAATATTAACAATTTCATTTGATTCAATCCTCCCCTCATCAACACACACCATGCTTTCTTTTTTTGTGTGAGGGTAGAGGAAGGTGATTAGGAAGAGAAAATATTCATTATACAGATGTTTGTAGTTTATATGAAAGATGTCTGTTTTAACTAAATATTGGATGATGAGTTTGATTAACAAGAGTAATGGCAAAAGATAAGGCTAAAGAGTTCTCATGTGTAGCTTTATTTTGAGGAGATAGAATACAAGATCTAAGATCTCATGGGGACCAAACAGCACTCATTAGGCCTTGTCTTAAATGATAAGGGTTTATTATTTTAAATAAAAGTGTATTTGATAAGAGCAAGCATTGGAATCATTGCTGCTCGCGAGAGAATTAGCATTTGAGGAAGCACATTAGGAAACAAAAAACAAAAAAACACCGCCAATAGCTTTGCATTATTTTGTAGGAATGAGTATAGATCCTGCTTTCCAGAAATGCCAGGAGAAAAACCTCAGATATAAAGCAAAAGTCTTGTCATTTTTAGGAATGACATACTACACATATTTTAATAATCATCTTTTCTTCCCTCACTATACTAAAATGAACATATTCAAAAGAGAAGATACATGATCTCACAAATGGATAACTTTCACATCAATCTGTTCATAAGCAGTGTTCGATCTAATTTAAAAAATGCTACGAGCAAGGATTCTGGAACAAAATGGAAAATTGAACACACTTCAATTTTATTCTCTCTTTAAAAATACAATAAAGAGACTTTTAAAAAGAAGTTGGCAAAGACAAAGCGAATAGGGGAGTGAAATGCACTTTTGGACACTGGAAACCAGATGAACATGCGGTATCAGACCCAAGAAAGCAAAACCCTGTGCTTTCAGAGGGTAAAACAGAACAACTCCAATTTATTCTGCAGAACCCTCAAAAGACTAAGAAACCACCAGCACCTCTGGAATGAGGAGTGGCGGAGGTAGAGGAGGAAATGGGCTAAAATAAGGAGGAATTAGAGATGTGCCTCTGAGAAGCAGTTAACTCCCTTACTCCTGCGGAGATGTAGAGGATAATTACCCAGAAAGGGTTAATGCAGACCAAAGGCACAGCTGGCTCCTCTTTCTCCTTCATTCAGTTCTGAGCCCTTTAAAGGGGAATTACTAGTTCTACCTTCCAAAAAAGGGCTCCTGTTCACTCTCCTCCCCCACCTCCATCACCCCTTAACCCCACTTTATTCTTCAGACTGCAGCAGAGCAAGGACCTCATCTGCCTTCCTATCCACTGAGATGTCAGGACCTAGAAAAATCATCAGTACATACATAGAAGGTGCTCAACCTAACTGCATGGTTATCACATGACATTCATCTGTAAATTGCTAGCAACTCCTATACATGACTTTATTATATTTTAATATCTAATCCAAGGGTTTGCTTTGTCATCCTTAAATCCCTAGCATATGCATATAGCCTAAATGATTAAAAACTTTTCTTCAAACATAATGTTTGTCTCCCTCAAACACATGAAATAAACCACTCATAACTATGCTCACACTGTCCTATATCCAACCTCAACAGGTTCAGTGCCTTGAATTTCTCCTCAAATACATACTGGCCCAAAATGAGTTGGGGACGTGGTAGAACAGATAATTTGGTCTCGGGTAATGTGGTTACAGACTAGAACCATGGTGGACAGAGACTGTAACAGATGTTGCACTCACTCCCAGTGTTCTGAGGAAAAGCCAGGGTGCAGAAGGCATATCAAGCACTAAACTGTTATTACACAACCAACTCTGGCTCTGATGAGCAAGGTAAATAAAGGGAACCTCAAGCAAGCAGAGAGCGGATATAAACCACTCAGCTTTTTCATGTTAGGGTTCACTTAAAAAAAGACTCAACTCCCACAGCTCATATGCTGCTAACTTGACGTTCTGCTGTCTTCTTCCACGCGTGTCATCTTCACGTGGAATCAGAGTCGAAGCAAAGTCACCTCCGTGGCAATTTTACCAGCTGCCACTTGACTAATGTTTACATACAGAAAACATGAAGCTTAGCAGGAATAGTGCTCACAAGAAAATTAACATAAGTAATACTGCTTGGAAGACTACATTTATTTTTATCTTTTGTCATAAAATAGGCTAAGAAAAGGTGCATATGGAAAGGTTTCTTCTTAGAAAGTTTTTTTGTAGACTCTTAAAGATACTGAGTAAAATTGATTAAAAAATGTGTTTTCACCAAATCCTACTGTTTATACAGGGGAAATTTCTAAATTAATGATGCTTAAAGCCTGCTATTCTTGGACTCTATTTTATCAGATAATTTTACTTCTAAATACTTCAAATTGCTCTTAGGTTGATGTTCTTGGCCAAACGTACCGATGTCGTCGTCTGTCCTGTCGATGGGGTCCTTCTCCAGGCAGTCTCGCACAATGTCCCTGCTCATCAGAGGGTCCGACGCCCTCTCGATATCTTCCTCATCGTCGTCGTCCTCGGAATCCACTGCTGTTTCCGGCAGCCCGCTCAGGTCCATATCACCAGCCTCACTTTCTGTGGCCTTAAAACAGACCAAATACTTTTTTAAAAATATGTTTTCATTGATTTTTTAGAGAGAGGAAGAGAGAAACATCGATGTGAAAAGAGAAACACGGACCAGCTGCACGCCCCCTGCTGGGGATCGAGGCCACAACCCAGGCATGTGCCTGACAGGGAATCAAACCGGGACCTCTCAGTCCATGGGACTAGGCTCAACCCACGGAGCCACACCAGCTGGGCCAAATAATTTTTTTAAAAACTGGTTTAAGTAAATCTTTTGTACCCAAAAGAAATAAGAACAGCCCTGGCCAGTGGACCAAGAGTCCTGAGTTCGGTTACCGCTAGGGGCACGTACCAAAAAAAAAAAAAAAAGAAAGAAAGAAAGAAATAAGAACAAACTTGGTTTAAACTTGGTTTAAAATATTACACTTTTTATAATATCAATTTTTCTGTAACAAAGTTACACATACCCAACATCAACAGACAGTTATGTACCCAGTACTATACAAAATAATTACTTCAGCAAAATGAGTGATTTTACTTCCTATTAAATTTTGTTGGGATTAATGATTTTATCTCAATATTTTTTATTTCTTATCTGAGCTGTCATATGGCATATAAAACAGTAAAATAAAGAAGAAAAAGTTTATGTTTTCACTCCTTTAAAAAAAAGAGAATGGCTTAAGCTCATGTTAATATTTTCTAAAGTTTAACAAAAAGAATTTTAATCACATTTTCAGTTTGTTATGTACCATATCCTGAACTAAAATACATACATTATAAGAAAAACCTAAGGTGAAAATAATTGAAGACAAATTACTTAGTGAGACTAGTATAATTAAAAATGGAAAACCTAATGTCTGTAGAACAGCTCTCCAACAAAAGTTTTAATAAATACTACATAATAAACACCATCACCGCCCTGGCTGGTTTGGCTCAGTGGTTGGAGTGTCAGCCCACAGATCGAAGAGTCGTGGGTTCAATCCCGGTCAAGGGTATGTACCTCACTTGCAATTCGATCCCTGGCCCTGGTTAGGGTCGTGCAGAGGCAACCAATCGATGTGTCTCTCTCACATTGATGTCTGTCTCTCTCTCTCTCCCCCCGCACCCCCCCAAACTCTATTTGAAAATCAATGGAAAAATATCCTTGAGTGAAGATTTATAAATAAACAAACAAATAAATAAATAAATAAATGCCATCATGAGCAGAGGTGCTCCAGCTGGGGGAGCAATAAGGTCTGTGGCCGAGGCAGAGAAAATCAACTGTAACACGCTTAGAAATACATCGCCTAATTAAAACTCAGAATTCATGAACTGTCTCTAAATCCTATAATGAAGCTTAAAGAGAACTTGATGGGATGTAGTATGCCAAGGCTGTGATCAGAGAAGCCAGGCCAACATTGTGGGTGTTGACACATAATTTAGAAGCATAGAAATGTGACCATTTGCTAAAGTTTCTTCTGATTATATGTTCACCTGTCACATCTCTACATCAAACAGGATTATTCATCACCTTATATTTTCAAATTTATGGTCTTCTATATACACATTCCTTAATATGGAGAAGGAATGCTACTGAAGACAAAAATAGAAACAGAAAACTCTTGTAAATAACATAGTTATATAACTTAAGATTTTTCTTTAATTTGAAAACATCTAACATATGGTAAGAGATGAAAACTATATTAATACCATCTCAAAGAAATCATTACTATCGTTTAAATGAATTGTATTTGTCTTAAATAGAATCAAAAAGACTTTCAAATGTGGACTGAATATCCCTCCAAAACTGAACCCTTCATTTATGTAAATGATCATTAGTTGTTTTCTGTTATGTGTATTCTATTCTTTAAGAAACTATTCATAAAATGACATTCACTAAACCAGTAATTTAGATTATTTTTATTTATTTATTTATTTTAAATTCTCACCCAAGGATAGCTTTTCATTAATTTTTTCAGATTGAGTGAGAGGGAGAAAAGGAGAGAGAGAGAAACATTGATGTGAGAGAGACACATCTACTGGCTGCCTCCTGCATGACCCCAACCAGTGCCGTGCAACCTAGGTACTTGCCCTTGACTGGGAATTGAACCCAGGACTCTTTGGTCTGCGGTATGACTCTCTAACTGCTGAGCCTAACTGGCCAGGACAGATTATTTTTACTTAAATAAACACATATTTTATTAAAAAATACTACAGAATTCTTTTTAATAATATGTTATAAAAAAATTTTTTTTTCTTTATTGATTTTACAGAGAGGAAAGGAGAGGGAGAGAGAGAGGGAAACATTGATGAGAGAAAACACTGATTGGCTGCCTCCTGCATGCCCCCCACTGGGGGATCCAGCCCACAACCTGGGCATGTGCCCTGACCAGGAATCAAACCGGCGACCCCTTGGTGCGTGGGTCAATGCTCAACCACTGAGCCACACCAACCAGGCTTAATAATATGTTTGAAATAAAACACTAACTTTTTGGGAACCTACTAATTTTATAATATCACTTTCTTGTGAGCAACGAGATGTTTGGAGACAGAGTGAAGTTAAAATTTAATGAACACCAACTGGTTTACAGAAGGGTATTCAACTTAAGAGGAATGCCTGGAACCTAGTAGTTACTGAATTTATTTTTGTTGAATGAACACACAAACCCAGAGTTCAATAGTTCAAACCTCAGCGCTACCATTCACTATGTGACTTTAGCAAAGTTGCTTAACCTCTATGAAACCAATTTTATCATCAGTAAACTGGGGTTACATCTTGCCATTCATAGGACTATTTTTGGATTAAATAGAGAAAAGAAAGCCAATTACAAGCTACATAAAAAGTTCCTTCCTCAAGGGGACACATTTTTTGCATCAGTAATTGCATACCTTTACCTCTCCCCATCTCTTGCATACAATTTATATTAGCAGTTGTCAAAAAAAAAACCCCACAAAACTCCATTAAAATCCCAACCCCTTACACATTGTGAAAAAACTTTTCTCAGGCTAACTGCATCTATTAAATTCTGGTTAAATGGCTTATAAAAATAATAATAAAAACAGTGATCCTTTATTGAATGACTACCAGGTATTTAGCACTACATTTGATGCTTTTAATACATAATAATTACTCTTCATAGCCATTCAGCAAATTAGATTGCCCCTATTATTTTTAATCCTCACCCAAAGATATGTTTTGTTATTTTTTAACTGATTTTAGAGAGAGAGGAAGGAATAGAGAGGGGAGAGAGAAACACTGATCAGGTGACTCCTAGACATGCCCCATCCAGGGATCAAACCCAAAACCTGGGCAAGTGCCCTAATAGGGAATCGAACCCATGACCCTTTAGTGCATGGGATAATGTTCCAACTAAATGAACCACAGAGGCCAGGGTAGATTTCCCCTATTTTTTACATGAAAAAACCACTAAGGTAAATTAAATAAATTGTTCAATATAAATAAAACAAAATAAAACCCAGTAATTGTGCTAGGACCCAAAATCTGCTCTAACAAATACAAACTACTAAATACTTTGCACTAAAATACTTTGGCCAGTTTTCTCAAAAGACTGTCTTCATAAAGAGATTAGTTAAAATATAATAAAGCGATGTTTTCTGCCTCGTTAAGTCATAAAACAGAAAATGTTTAAAAATACATATTTGCATATAAACATAAAACACTTGCTAAATTTCTAGCTTCCTCCAAACTATACTATTACTAAGATTAACACCCATCTTTAAGCTCTTTTATTCTAAATAATGATATGCACACAGACACTTTATATTTAAAAGATATCTGATTATATTTGTCTCAGGAGCTAGGAAAAAGGCTTATATATTTTAGTTAGGCAAATAACTTCTTTCCTAAATTAATTTATCTTTCAAATGTATAACCTAACACAGATTTAAATGCACATGATAGCTATAGTAATAATTTTAAAAAACAAAAACAACCCTATTAATATTCTCAGATCAATACTGAAAGGGGACTACATATATTGTTATTTAAAATAGTTTTTAAAACCAATTTATTTTGCATTTGTAAGGTTATCAAGAAAAGGAATAAAGTGAGGAAATATTAAATGTCATAAAACTCTAGGGAAGTGTTAATTTAACTAGAATAAAAATAACTACTGCCCAGCTGGGATTGCTCAGTTGGTTAAGTGTCCTCCTGTGCACCAAAAGGTTGCTGGTTTGAGTCCCTGTCAGGGCACATACCTGGGCTGTGGGTTCAGTCCCCAGTAGGGAAGCGTCTGGAAGGCAACCTATCAATGTTTCTCTCTCACATCAATGTTTCTCTTTCTCTAACCATTTCCTCAGGTGAGGATTAAACAAATAAATAACTACTATACATGTTTATTAAGTACTTCAAAATCATTTATAACAAAAATTAACTTTTTGTGCCCAGAGGTGTGGCTCAGTGGGCCGAGTATCATCCCATGAACTAAGAGGTCCTGGTTCGATTCTCAGTCAGGGCACATGCCCGGGTTGTATGCTCGATCCCCAGTAGGGGGTGTGCGGGACACAGCTGATCAATGTTCCTCTATCACATTGATGATTCTCTCCTTTCCTCTCTATCTAAAAAAAATCAATAAAAACATATTTAAAAAATAACATTTTGCTTATTAGATATCCCACACATGGATCCCCATGTTTAAGAGAGTTGCTCAATAGTATTCTTGATGTAAATAAATTTTGTGCAGAATTTCAAACATGCATATTTAACCCAAATAGTACCTAAATTTACGCTAGATGTATATTTAGGCTAGAAAGTTACAATGAATGCTACTGCTGATAGTAATTTAACTGAGACAACAAAGTATAGAAATCGCAGACAAAAGCATATATATAGAAAGTATGAAAATATATTTTAAAATAAGTATAATGCTTGCATTAAGTATAGTTTATGTATCATAATTTATGCTGTTCCTATCAACATAGACTTTAAAATTATGTATATGCCTAAAAGAAAAGAACAATTTTTAAAGCTCTTAATGTAAATTGTTAGGTTTCTTTCCAAATACTGACAATCCTAATAGGTGTAAGAATGTCTATATATTTATTATTAGAAAGTCTGTACTAATTTGATAGAGAAAAAAAGTTTCACATTTAAATCTTCATATACTCAATTTCTAATATTTTAAATATTTTAAGGTAGGTATAGACACTTGCATGTTTTCTTCTGCAAATTACCTACTTTTGCCCTTTGAATACTGTTATTTCTGAGCTGAATATTCTTCTTGTTAATTTGTATAATACTGACTTTAAATGTCTCCGTTGATCTTTTAATTATTAAATTTTTTGATGACTCATTATACCATTAAGAATTTTATAACTCTTGGAATTTAATCTTAGTTATGATATAGAGTGAGACTACAAAATGACTCCCCCTCTCCAAAGACCATTTATTGAATAATCCATCACTTTCTTTATTGATTCATGTGGTTTCCTCTATTACTACATCCTTATACACAAGTTCCATTTTGCTTGAACTCTTTGTTCTATTGATCTGTCTATTTCTGTACAACTATTTCCAGTCCCCCTAAGTCACTGCTCTGCTAATCACACCTTTCAGCTGGGACCTTATCATGACTGGAAATTGTATTGTTTCACATCATCAACTTATCCATTCTGCTTTCTATCACCAACCACCTCCTACTTCTTTTGCTTCTTCCCATCTTCCATCTGCTTTCAAGGTAACCTTTTTTCTTTTTCCAACTGAAGCATGATCTTCAGTCTTTAAGACTCCACTACTTTCTACATCTAGCTCTCACACCTCCAGCTAATATTTCAATCACATTCATTAAACACATCTGTACTGCATGACTATGGTTTTCTGACAGTATACTAGGTTCTAGAGAGAAAACAAAGACAAGACAGAGAAGTTCCCTGACTTCTGGAGGCTGTCAATCTTGTAGGCAGACAGAACATAGAAAGTAATAATTGTTTCAATTAAAAATCTAAACAAAAAGACTAGTCAGGAAAGAACCAAAATGTAGGGCCTACTTTTTAGAGGGGAATTAAAATAAGAAGAACAGCTCACTGAGAAGACAGTCCTTTAAAAAGAAGACACACACAAAAAAGGATCACATTAGGAAACATCATTCCAGGCAGAAGGCACGCAAAAACAAAGCTGTACAGTGAGAAAGAGCTTGGCATGTTGCTCCATCCGTCTTTGTGTTAACACCCATATAAAAAACTTCAGTCCTGGGTGAAGCCAAATCTTTGCTTTCTTTGTGTGGAGAAAATTACTTAAAAGGGCAGAGGGAAATCACTCTGTATTTAAGGGCACCAACTCGACTGAGCCGCATTGCTCTGGTCAATTTGCTTTCTTACTCTCTGAAACTATTTCGAAACTTCTCTCTCCTTAGGACTCTCTACTAGCCGGTCCCCTTTCTCAGCAATGAACTCAACTCTTCGGAGAGAAAAACAGAAGACATCAGATAGAAACTCCTTTTTCCAAACTTCCCACTCCAAACCCACCATGATAGGTCCTTTTTAAATCAAATGAGAGTTTCTTTTCTTAAAGTTAGTTATTCTACTTTGTTCTTGAATTCCTCTCTCTCAACCTCTCAGAAAAATGATTTTACCCTTTTCTCTTATTCATAGCATCCAGTTTCAACCTCTCTGTGCCCATCTCATGAGCATTTGTACTCACTTCAATGTGACAGGTTTCTCCTAAATCAGAATTGTACCAAGATGAAATGAGCTGCCACTAGAGATAGCTGCCCATCCCTGGACTTGTTCAAGAATAAACTGGATGCTTGATTGACAGGAAAGTGGCAGAGAATTCAAATACAAGAGTGGTTACCACGCCAGATGCATCTGTCAGGTTTCTCCTCAGCTTAAAAATTTCTGATTTACAGATGTCAGATACGGTCTACTGGGGATCTCTGGTCAATGTTTAGTTTTGAATAGCCAATAATTAAATCCTTAGATACATCGATGGATTTATTTCCTTATGAAGGATACATGCCTGCCATCAAGTTTGAAATGAGCAGACTTTAAACTCAACCAAAATGAATCAAAATACACAGGGATCCTTTTTTCCATCTACACCCTCCCAGATAAAGTCAGACAGAGGGCTGCAAGCCCCACACATCAGAGCAATTTGGAGTCCTCACCCAAATTCTGACACGCAGACATTCTGCTCGTAGCTGAGAAGAGCAGCGGTACCATCAAGATTTTCCTCATGAACTTACCACAGACCATAAAGTAACAGCACCAAGGTAACAGCACATAAAGCAAGCATTCCCTTCCAAATATGTCTCAATCAATTATACAAACAACTCACTTCATTCTTACAAAGTTACAGTCAGGTTTATATATATTTGAAGAAAGCAGTGGTGACTTCTACAACCTCAAGCTGTGTTCCCACTATAGATACTTAAAATGCATTATCAGTTTGCCCAGTGTGGCTCAGTGGTTGAGTGTCGACCCATGCACCAAGACGTCGTCAGTTCGATTCCCAGTCAGGGCACATGCCCAGGCAGTGGGCCTGATCCCCAGTGGGTGGCATGCAGGAGGCAGGCAATCAATGTTCTCGCTCATCCATGTTTCTCTTTCTCTCCCTCTCACTTCCTATCTCTCTAAAATCAATAAAGGGAAAAAAATTTTTTAATGCATTATCATATCAAAGCTTAGAAGATAAGGGTTCTATCGTGATGTTTCAATTAATATGAACTGAAGCACAGCTTCCACTTATATTGTTGATTGTCCTGTTATAAGTGACACTCTTGAATAAATGTTAAAAGATATCAACTCCTAAAAAATAGGCAATATTGGAGTGGGAGTGGGAGGGTGAGTCAATTTGCCCTGATCAGCTACCTTTTCCCCTTCTAACATCTGAAAATGGGATTACTTCCTAAAGATTTAAATACAAGTTAACACGTAATTCATCAAAGTGGAAATTTGAAAAGTTATTTTAAAGAGTCAGATTAGTTATATTTCTTATTGCGAAATAATGGAGAAATTCTTAATTAGTCAAGAATCTGCAAATAATTGCATTTGTGGCTATCAATTATTAGTTTTCTACAATACCCTTGAATTGTAAAAAAGTATGTAATATATCACTTCCTTAAAAGAATATTAATTTTCTAAGATCTATCCAATTTAGGACCTAAATATGTTTTGCCCTAATGGTTTTCTAACTGTTTAGTTACTTTTAGTATTTTTTACAAAATAGAAATTTAGCACTGCCTAAATACATCAATGATTCTGAAACACTATGTTTCTAAATTAAGGTACTCTTATCAGTCTTATATTACAATTCCTAAGAAACCAAGAATTACACTTCGTAAAATACATATTATGTCCTTTTTGTTTCAAACAATCCAAAATGCCATACTCGTAATATATAATTAAAGATCCCCCCCACCCACCCAGGACATCATTGGGGGTATATTCTAGTCACTTTTCCTAAATCTGTATTTTCTACTTCAATGAACTATTCATTAACAATGAAATAAAATTACAATTATTCTGCTTTTAAAACACTTTTTAATTCTATAGTTTTAGTCGTTTTTCTATTCATAGGTATTAGAAAAATTTATTTTGAACACATTACTAAATCTATAGATAAAAATGTAAGAAAAACAATGATCCAATCTTAATAATCTCTTCCTTCTGTCATGCTCAAGACTTCAGTAAAAAAACTTATAAAATCATAATTCTGCAGTTTCCCCCTACAATTTATCTAGTTTAAGTCACAAAACTCAAATATCTATACTCAAATAATATTTTAAAGTCAAGAGAAATATCTCCATTGTAATAACTCTCTTAAAAATTCTGATAACTGCCCTGGCCAGTTTGGCTCAGCGGTTGGAGCGTCGGCCTGCGGTACAGAGAGACCCGGGTTCGGTTCCCGCTAAGGGCACGTGCCTCGGTTGCAGTTTGTCCCTGGCCCTGGTTGGTTGTGCGGGTGGCAGTCACTTGAAGTGTCCCTTTACATCGATGTTTCTTTCTCTCTCTCTTCCTCTCTCTCCCTCCCGCTCTATCTGAGCAAAAAATGGAAAAATGTCCTCGGGTGAGGACAAAAAAAAAAAAAAAAAAATTCTGATAACTGGTAATAGCAGCAAATACAATTAGATAGTAGTTCTACTTCCTAAAACAACAACATATGACATGTCTGTGTGAAGTATAAACATTAATATTTTGTGTCCGTGGGTGCACATATAAGATACACACGTACAGTTGCTTTATAGGTTCTATCAATTAATAATCATAAAACTCCTTGAAATGCATGAAAATGAAGCAAATGACAAGAAAAATACCTTACCTGGTAGATATCAGAAAGACTGCTGCTTCCAGAATCACTAGTGATGCTACATCCTGAGTGGCTAGAAGAAACGTGGGTCACCTGTGGGTGGAGACTATCAGTAAGGTGTAGTTTTGTGAAATCTGCAGGAAGCTATGGAAGGAGCAGGAAAAACTAGGGTTACAATTTGAATCAAGAACCCCAAGAAGACACTTAAAAATTATATTATACTCTACTCCACATTATTTAGCCAAATATATTATTAGGAAAGATTCCTCATTTTTAAAATTCAAAAATAACTGAAGATTGTCCTATTTACCAAAAATCACAAAACAAATTTTTAACGTTTATGGGCATCCAATGAACCTCAAATAACACCAAATTCAACATGTAAATAGGAGGGTTTGGCAGTTAAGATTAACTCGGGTAAGCATTTAATTCAATGAGCTAAAATTTTGAATTACACACTAATGAACAAATTAGTCTACTACTATTTGTTAGCCATCACAAATGCAACTTTGTGACAAGAGACAGTTTAAATAAGAAAACAGATTTAACTTTTTTTATATCTCCAAATAATGTTTAAAGGTTATTTTTTTAAATGAGCATCTTAGAATTGATGAAGTATGTTATACAAGTGCTAGGCTCTATGGAGAAAACAAAAAAGAATGCTCTCAGAAAACTTAGAATTGAGAAAGTTATGAACAACATTTACTTATCTATACAAATGCATGTAAGTATCAAATTTCTACTTGTTCGTGTTTAAACCCTAAATAAATATAACCTCTATTGAACAGATTCACCAAGCATCCCTCAAATGCTCCCACCCCTCTCCCATATAGCTGAGAAAACGCACTGAGAAGGGAAACATTCATACATTCACCTTAATGAGCAAGTATTTACTGAGGCCTCTTCCTCTTACTATGTGCTAGTCAGTGAATGAGATACTACGAAATAGTGCCCTTAAGAATTCTGTGCTCTTATAAGTTATTACCAGTTCTTTTGAATTAAAAAGAGATGCTATCTATAATATACACCCACAATACTATTGGCCAGTAATACACATGGCATTTCAAAATATGCTAACAACATGCAATTCTGATAACATTCTTTTTCCTGCCTGAATATTGTTCCTATTTAGCTGTTGAATAATAATATATAAACTGTCAAAATAAAACTTAAGAGTTTACCCTAACAACATTCCCTTCTTTTCATTTGATCTCATCCCTTCTTCTCCTCAAAAAAAAAGATGCCATTCTAAAGTTTAGAATAAGCCTCAAAAGGGAGGTGATTTGGTTTATGACAATGACCAATGCGTTTCAACACCTCCAAGTCCCAAACAAAGAGGCAAAATGTATTTACATCCCCAAACCATTCAGACCTGACTCAATAAGCAGATTATGATAGTTAGTAATATTTAGTAAGTCTGTACAGAAGTATTTCTTAACTCCATGAGAGACAAGGTATCCAAATGAAAGATTTAAATATAAATTTTTTAGGGGACATGTGATGGTATGTCAAGTAAATGGATAAAAGCATTATGTTGGAGTAGCTCAGAGAAGTGAGATGTTCATCCAAATGTGTGAAATCATTACAAACATGTATATGACTAAGAGTGTTTTTTTAAAAAATAATTAAAGATATTGTAAAATGTTAGATAATAATCTTCCTATAAGGAATAGATAGGCAAATACCTCTAAATTAAGAATTTACATGTGTGATTTACAATGTGGGATAGTGAAATATTTGCAAAATTTCTTCAGGAACATCCAAAGACAGAAATTCGCAGAGATGCATTAATGATTATGATTTTACATGTAGCTCAACAATAAATATCAGATTATTAAAATAATGCGTTCAAAACCAGGATACAAAGCTTTCAACATCCTAACTACATTTCCATTTAATCCAGTCACTCACTGCAGAAGGCAACGGGCAAACCTTACTCAATGGCTCAATGACTTTAAAAGGCATCAATCGATACATGCAATTACAGAACAATGAACTGATTTCTATTGATTAACTTTTATGGACATGAAAAAGGTTGCCATGTGCCACATAGTATGATTTTTAAAAATTAAATATGTCAAATGAAGATATAACTAATGAATTTTAACTCACTAAACAATTATTTATTCAAGTTTTCTGTTAAGTATCTATCAACCAGTCATCTTTCCTGACAAAGAACTCACTGTGTGAAAAGCAATAGAAATTATAAGAGTCTAAATCTAATAGAGAGACATGGGTCCAGCCTTTATATATATAGACCACAATCTATTCCTCTATGCCTACTTGCAACCACAAAATTATGTGGCTATACTAAGCTGAGAATACTGTGAAGACTGTTTCAAAGAAAACAAGAAATATTTTCACTGTTAAGACTCCAATTCAAACTTTATAAATACTTATTGAATACCTGCTGTGTCAGATACTTTGTTAAGAACAGGTAATATCAAGGTGAATAAGACATTCCCAATTCCAAATGTAACATCTACTATCCAAAAAGTCACTGAAATAGGTGTTATGCACAACAGAAAAATAAATCAGTTTTTCAAACATGGATTGTATCTCCCCAATACCCTCTATGTCCTTTGTAGAAGAGCATAAAATAATGTTATACATTAAACTTATAATAAATAGATACCATGTTTATGAAAGCTTAAAAAATTTTCCCATGGATTGGGATAACAGTATCATAATTCAATTTTATTGACAGTGCACTTCAGCCAAGGTTATGGAATGGGAGAAATTTGGAAGTTGTTCCCATAAGGGAAATAAGTCTGAAATGCACTGACTTGGCCCAGCCACGACACTCTAATAGAAAAGAAACTGAGCCCAGCTGGTGTGGCTCAGTGGACTGAGTGTCATCGCATGGTCTGAGAGGTTCTGGTTCAATTGCCAGCCAGGGCACATGCGCAGGTTTCAGGCTCGATCCCCAGCGAGGGGCGTTCAGGAGGCAGCCAATCGATGTTTCTCTCTCTCTCACATCAATGTTTCTATCTCTCTCTCTCCCTTCCTCTCTCTCTCTCTTAAAAACAAAAAAAAACTAAATAAATAAATAAAAATATATTTTTAAAAAAGAAAAAAATTGAGCCCATGCCAAGGGGAAATGGGAGGCAGGGGCAAACACTGGCAAAGTAACATGTTAAAATCTGTGGGCAGCCCTGGCCGGTTTGGCTCAGCAGTTAGAGTGTTGGCCTGTGTTCCAGAGAGACCCAGGTTCGGTTCCCGCTAAGGGCATGTACCTCGGTAGCAGTTTGTCCCCGGCCCTGGTTGGGTTGTGTGGGTGGCGACCACTCAATGTGTCCCTTTCATGTCGATGTTTCTCTCTCTCTCTCTCTCCCTCTCTCGCTCCCACTCTATCTGAACAAAAAATGGGAAAATGTCCTCGGGGGAGGATTAAAAAATAAAATAAAATCTGAGGGCAATAGGGTAACACAGAACCTCCAGGGAAACAGTAACTCATGGTCTGAGAAAAATATACCAAAAAGGGGGCGGGGCACAACGAGCCAAAGACGACAAGATTTACTTATTCTAAACTTTTCTATGTGCCTACTTAAATTACTATCAATATGCTATCAAATTTCAGATTAAATCAGGGCTGTGAATTATCTGACTCTAGACACCATTCATAATAATCATTCTGTTAAAAAAATAGGAAAAAAAATTTAAACTGGTGCTATTTACAGCAATTACCTAAATAAAATTAAGTAATAATTCAATAATTAAAGGGAAAATTAACACATTTTATAGTTTGATCTTAACACCAATATATTTCATAGCAAAGAAATCCTATATTTTTCTTATTTAAATATTTTTATTTTAATGTTTTATTATGTAAATATATTAGTGCTCAAATTTTTCCTGGGTAAAGCAACCTAGATTCGAATCACAATTGTAATAAACAACTGTTAGACAAATGACTAAATAATAATTTAAACATAAACACTACTAACTATATAACAAACAACAGTGGTAATATTTAAATCAGATGCTTAAATGCATAAAGTTATAAAAAACTTAAAATTAATCATAGTTTTGTGAAATCTGGGTATTAATTATATAATATCTTGCTTTGTTTTCTTTTTTAAGAGAAAAGGAATGCTATGACAATTAGCTTTAAATAAGAAGTACTACACAAAAGATGTAAGTCTCATATATGAATAGGCACTTGACAATCTTTTATTTATTAATGATTGGCATTTATAAAATTACTAGTTAATAAATGAACTCTATTTTAAATATAAATACAATGAATATGGATGCCTTGATGTTTCTGACTAAGGAAATACTTTGATGAGTTGGTAAAATCCCTCAAAGTGGTAATAATGTAACAGAGACTAGCATGGCTGCCCTTCTTCCCCCAAAAATCTTCTTTATGTTCATGTTTTCAAGCTAATGAGAAAGAGTCAGTATATTACTGGACATGTAATGGAAATGCAATAGTTTCATGCTCCACAATGCCTTATCACCTTGCTGAAAAATGCAATAGTCAAAAAACAAACAAACAAACCATCAATTGAAATTGATTTAACTACAAATTTTCCCTACTAAACTTAGAATCACATTATTTCAAGAAATAGTTACAACAGAACACACACGGTTTGGGGTGATTGTTGAAATCTATTGTTATCTTCCCTGGCAGTTAATACTGATTAATACTACCTAAAGTAAATTAAATATTACACTTAGTGACTAAAAACTAAGAATTTACCCAAATGAGTATTGTTTTCCCTATAGTATCACTGGAGTTTTGTGAGTATTCTTTATACTCATGTTTTCAAGCTCTGCAAGAGAGAGTTGGTATATTACTGGACACAGTTCCTACTTTTCTCTGAGGTGTTAGTGAAAATACAGTCTCCTACATTTTCCATTCATTCATCATTTATTGAAAACCTGTGTTCTGAGGATTAAATGAATGACTGAGCCTAAGCACTTGGAGTAGGGCCTGGCACAAAGTAACCACCGCAGAAGTATGTTAGCTATAAATTATCACATGCTAGACTCTGTGTAACATACAGGTCCTTTCCAGCTCTAGAATTCCTGTAGCTGAATCCGACGAGATGCCAATGGGCTGTTACTCCCAAAAAGGGCTTTAGACCAAATTCATCCAGCTACAGATACTATTCTCTTAACCATTTCAGAACTCAAGT